TGCAGGAGTTTTACTTAAAGCCTTTTACAGTCCTCTGAAGGACGAATCTTGTTTAGTGTTTCCTTTTAAGTTGGAATGTTCCTTTTCCTTGTCTTTTAGCATTTTATATAGCAGCTTTGTTTTTTCCATGAATCCCAGAACCCAGATTCTGCAGAATCCTGCCATCCTGAGGAATTCTCAGAGCTTCTTTTTGGTTGTGGATCTTGGCAGAGAACAAATGACTTTTTCTCCCTCGGGACCTAGCCTCCCTTTGTCCTTTTTTAAAGTCAAATCCCAAATATCACACTTTGTTCTCACAGGTTTGTGTTTTGTATGAGACTTTATATCCCGTGTCTTGCAGGAGCTTGAGGAGGGCCTTGGTCCCTTCCCAACAATTTCTTTCTGACTTGCTACAAAGGAGGAGGTCATCTACATATTGTAACAGGGAGCAATTGTATTGAGCATGTGGGAAACAGTTTTAAATCCAAGGCTACTGCCTCACCAAACAAAGCAGGAGCATTCTTGAATCCCTCTGATAGTCGGGTCCAGGTCAGCTGTCCTTTTTGTCCTGTTTCTGGATCTTTCCATTTGAAGGTGAAAAGTGGCTGACTTACTGGAGAAACTTGAAGGCGGAAGACTGCATCTTTCAAATCTAGGCAGGTGAACCATTCTGCCTTTGCAGGAAGCAGACTGAGCAGGGTGTAAGGGTTAGGAACGGATGGGTGTAAGGTAACAGCAGCCTGGTTAATGGCTCTCAAGTCTTGTATGGGTCTGTAGGCTTTTTCACTGGGAGAGGTGTATTCCAAGGTAACTGACATTTTATAAGGAGCCCATTTTTTTTCAATCTATTTATGTGGGGGTGGATTCCTCGTCAAGCCTTCTGTGCCATCGGATGCTGTCAGAGGGCCACTAGAAGGGCTTTGGACTTGAGTTCCACCACTATTGGGGCATGTCTCTTTGCAAGGCTGGGTGGGTTGTCTTTAACCCAGACTCTTGGGAACAATGCCCTAAGTTTTCCTTGATTTTCTTGGTGTCTTGTATTTCAGTTTCAGCTCCCTCCAAAAGTCACCATTCCTCTTCCCGGGGAACTGTGTCCAGCAGGACATGACTGTTGGGGGCAGTGCTCAGGCCTGGATGGGTATTGCTGGTGTCCCTATCAAATGTGATGGTGCCTCCCAGTTTAGAGAGGTCTCTCCCCAAGAGTGGAATGGGACATTTAGGGATATACAAGAACTCGTGGGTCACTTGATGTCCCCCAATCGTACATGTCCTGCTCTGGCAAAAAGTCTTTTTGATGGGAATTCTTGTGCCCCCAGTAACTTGAGTGTGTCATGTGCTCAGAGGGACAACTAACTGAGTCACAACACAATGCTCTGCTCCATTGTCCACCATAAAGATAACAATGTGGTCCCTGACTTTGGCTTTAACTAGGGGCTCACAGGGACCTAGATTCAAGGAGCCCTGTTGCCCCTATTTGTCCTCTTCTCCGGCCAAGGAGAAGAGAGTTGAAAGGGAGACATCCTCTTCTTGTTGCCTTTTTTTCTGTCTCCTCTTCCGGATCTTTGGGCATTTGTTCTTATGATGTCCATATTCTTTACAGTAGGTGCATTGGTCTGGATCCAAATAAGCATATGTTCATCCTTTTGGCGAGCTGCCCTGTGCATTAGGCTTTCGGTGGGAGCTCTCAGACGGGTTTTTTTTTTTTTTTTTTAATTTCTCGTTGCAGGCTGGCCCAGCACTGCTGCCAGGAGAGAGACCTTCTGTTTGGTTCGGCAGAAGGTCTCTTTTTCTTGTTCCTCCTTTTCTTCTTGGTCTCGGTTCACATAGACTTTTCGGGTAATGAGGATCAGCTGTGTGATATTCATCCCCACCCAGCCTTCTTGTTTTTGAATCTTTTTTTGAATGTCTGCTGCAGCCTGGGATATGAATGCAGTGTTGAACATTTGCTGATTTTCAGGGCCTCTGGGTCAAAGGGTGAATATGTCCTGTAGGCTTCACATAGCCACTTGTAGAACTTCTCTGGGCTTTCATCTTTTTCCTGAAGGGTTTCTGTTATCTTAGTCATGTTGTGTGGCCTCTGAGCTCCTGCTTCCATCCCCCTTATGACGGCTTTGCAGTACTTCCTGAGTGTCCCTTGTCCTCCAGCTGTGTTGGGGTCCCAGTCAGGTTTATAGCAAGGCAGGTGATCATTTATCCATTGTTTTTTATTTGCCTCATCTTGGGGTACCTGGGTCTTGAGGTATTGTCTTGCCCCATCTATGACTTGTCGGCATTCCTGGGTCTTGAGGAGTGCCATCATCAGTTCCTGCCTGTCTTTTCAATTTGGATGGTGTGTCCGAAAAATAGAGGTCACGAGTCTAGTCATCGCCTCTGGTTTCTCTGAGTAGGAAGCAGTATGATTCTTTTAATTCAGTAAATCAGTGGAGCAAAAAGGCTGATGTATGAGGACAGAGGGGCCTCCCACTGGATTGGGATACTCTGAGGGGCATCTGGAGATGCAAGAGCGGAGGCAGTGAGCCACTGGACTAGTGGGGTCTGCATCTGAGGCAGATTCCGATGTAGGATCTTGAAGCGGTGGGTTCAATCAGATGAGGCCAGGGCTGGTGCCGATGGTGCCGAGACTGGTGAAGACTCGGCGGCTGGTGCTGATGCCACAGGGGCCCAGGGAAGGGCTGGGGCAGTTGGGTATGGAGGAGGATAGTCTGAATTCTCTCCGACTGGGTCTGAAAGGACCAGTTTCTTTCCAGCATCATCCTTTTTCTGATGGAGTACCAGGACAGTGCTTTTTGCTTCCAGGGCACACATATGAAGCCAAGGAGGCATTCTGTGGCACAATTTGAGCCATGAATCAATATAGGGAAATTGATCTGGATGTTCCCATCAAGGGGCAGTGACCTCCTGCCAGATGGACCAGATGAGACCCCCATCTAGGGATCCCTCAGGTGGCCAAGCTGGGCAAAGCTTGGGCCATTCTAGCTCACAAAAGGTTCTAAGGTTTTAGGGTTTCATCTTAATACCATAATCTCCAGTAAAACCTTTTTAAAAATCCTTAAGCATGCATTCTAAAACAGTAGGACAAGATGTTCCTGTCTCCATGATTGGCCGATCAGTGTTGGTGAGTTTATGGGTACCCTTGTATGGAGATGCAAGACAAACAAAGGAGGGTGACCATCAGAGATGATCCACACAGGTGCCTGTATGGCTGCATGACCAGCACTTTCAGGACTGTCCAGGCATAAGGGTGTATTTATCTTGTCATGAGAGCACCCACTTAGCCCTTGTGAGATGAGTCCATAGAATTGCAGATCAGACCTAATCATGTCTGTAACCTCAGGGCGATATTTAAGCAAAGAGGTGGACCCCCTTTAGTCATGGACACAGACGGAACAGCCTATAATTTTTGCTGTCCATTTACACTCAGTCTCACATTCACGCACAGTCATTCAGAGGTTAAACATTCCTGCCTGCCTGGGATGGCCCTAACTCAATCTTCACAAGGCAAAGCAAAAGGGACTCTGAAAAGCCCCAGCAAATGGGACTCTGAAGAGCCCCGACCAAATGGGAATGCAATATTTCCACACAAGGGGTGATCAGGCCCTTTTTCTGACTTCTGTCAAGATAAACAAACTGAAAATTGAATCTCGGGCTTTTCCCAGGGTGGTCTACTGTGTCCGAAGTCACTCAGTCCTGCGTCTCCTGTCTCTCGTTCCAGGTCCGGTCAAGCCACTGCCGACAAGGTTGGCGTTACGAGTCCTCGAAGGGGACTGAGAAAATTCTCCCAGGGGCACCCTTCCCCTAAGAGGAGTTGGAAGGCCAGACACTCTGACAGGGTTCGAGCCATGGGCCAAGTGGCCCGAAGATGATCTTGCTTCCCAGCCAATGCACCAAATGTTACAGCAAAGGGAGTCCAAATGATCTTTCAGTCTGACACCAGCAAGACAATGAATCTCAGAAGACTCTCAGGGCTGAGTGGCACACTCATAATGACCCCAGCAAAAACTGATTATTTACACTTTCAAACAGAACCGTGTTACACAGTGATAAATAGCTATTACTTATTATCTACATGATTCTTTAGAACAGTTGTTCCTTTACAAAAGGGCCATGAGTTGACTTTTTTGTCTGAATAATATAGAACAGGAGCTATTTTTAATAAAATTCTGAATCAGAGGTAGATGGAGAAACTGTCGATGCTGGGTGCCTATTGAGGGCCTTTAGATAGACTCTCTGTAGAGTAACTCTGACTCTGATCATAACTACGACCCTGTTTAGCTGGGAGTAGCCAGACCGGTCTTCGTCCTTTGCCCCCTAACAGCAATTAGGGGTACTTCTTCAGAGCGGGGACTATTGTAGATAGGTATGTTAATTAGATATCTTGTAGGCAGTAGGACAAGACCAGCCCAGAGGAAGCCAACAAGGAGGAGAGTGAAGACACATTCACTGAAGGCCAGCACGGTAAAAGGAGAGAAACTACCACACCCATGTAGGATGAATAGCAGTGACTGATATTCCAAATAGGTATCAATCACCTGGGTGGGGGGCCAAAGTCTTAACCCAGCCTGTCCGGGAAATATCTCTGACCCACCCTTACTGAAAATCCTTGTACGCTTGCTATGGGACTTGCTCCCTCATTTGACCCCCATTTAATCACTATTACCTGGGTAACTGTACTTGTAATCTTTTTTTTTTTTGGTACCTGGGATCGAACTTGGGTCCTCGCGCTTGCTTGCGAGGCAGGCGGCAGAACCACTGAGCTAAATCCCTGGCCTGAAAGCTGTGAGTTTTGAAAGATGCATTAGATTTTAGAAAAAGCCTTTGATAGGAGTCCTGGGTTCAAGACAACCCTCTATTTCCAGGCTCTCAGAGAGTCACTGGGCCTCCCTAAATCACACCAGGCAAGCACTGCCAACCTCACAGGGTTAGGAATGGAATTAATTCAACTCAATGATACCGCTTCCAAGTGGTCAGGGGTCAGACATACTCTGGCAACATCAAGATGAAGGTGCACACACACAACATACCGGAAGAACTACAGGATTCCTGGCCATCCGAGGGATCCTGGTCCGTTTCTCTCACATAAAATATAAGCTGAGTTGGTTTCAAAGACTTGAAGCCTGGTTTCTGGAGGTTTTCTAAGTAGACACTTAGTCTCTTAAGAGAATTTTCATTGACTTCCTGGAAAAAATACGAACGGCATTTGCACACAAATGAGAGCAAGCAACTCAAAGTAAAGATATTGACCTTTTAAACAATATTGAGGGTATAGTATTTAAAAATGGTGGGAATTTTACAGCTCTCTTTTTTCTTCTCTTTTTTGCAGTGGTGGGGATAAAACCCAGGGCCCTGCACACACCGGGCCAGCGCTGCACCACAGAGCAGCACCCTGACCCCTCACAGCTTTGATAAAAATGGATCCACACCTCGTAACGCGTAGTGGCATGAAGAGTGTGGATGAGACAGAAAAACAACCAACTATGTGAGCACAAGGAGAAAACATGGCTCGACACCTTTATAAACCGGAAGTGGAGAAAACCTAACTCCAACCAAACAGCCCCCAGTAACAAATGCCTGGTAAGTCCAATTACATTCCTGTACTTATTACAGCCAATGTTATATATGTGTTTTACTACAAGATGTATAAAAAAAATTTTAAAAACCCTCTAAAAGCCACATATGATATACACAGTAAGCAAAGCCATAAGACATATAAAAGAAAAATATTTACAACTTATTTTATAGGTTAGGGCCTTTAAATGCTCTTCCACAGCACAGCGGCTGAGTATGGTGTATTTAGTGGAGTATTACACAATCAAAAAGAAGAAAAATGCAATGTACATGATATCTATGAACTGAGATGGAATAATTTCAAGGACATATTATTATATAAAAAATGTCTTTAGTGAAGATGGCATAATCAATCATGCTTATTACCCTCAGTCTCTCCTCAAGCACACTTGTCAAGTGGTTTGAAATTAGGCACAATCATTATTTTTTTTTTTGGTACCAGGGATCGAACTAGGGACCTTATGCTTGCGAGGCAGGCAACGGAACCACTGAGCTAAATCCCTGGCCCCCACAATCACTATTTTTTGATGACTCTACTGATTAACATGAGTGGGAACTCTGCATGGTTCTGGGCAGGGAAGGCCCATTTTAGGGAGGATTGGTGTCTGAAAGGTATAAAAGGAGAAGGGGTGGGAAGGATTTCAGCTGATTTTCCTGGGATGAGCTCCCTGCTTCACCTTCGCCTTGGGCTTCCTCTTCTAGCTCTCAGTGAAGATTCATCAGCTTCCAGAACCAACCTTTTCACCCTTTGGGCACAGCCCCCTCCTGCATTTCAGATCCCCCGGCTCCTGGGCTCCTGATGCAGGCTCGAGCGGGACATTGCTGTGGGCTCCAGGCCTTTGGCTAGATCCTTTGGATCACCAGCATGTGGACAGAGCTCTGGCCCTCTTCTCCAAGTGACTCTGTGGGCAGATGCTGTGGGCTGATCACGTAAACGTCTGTGTGCTGCATTAGATCTGATTCCGAGCATGCACAGCCTTCTGAGCCTTCCCAGCCTGCATGCTTGTAAGAACTGACTAACACGGATGGTTTTAGCCCCAAGAGTCCCTAACGCAGGTCAGTGTAAAACTAGATGTGCAGAGGTATTTTAGATACATGCTTCTATTTTTGCTGAAAAGAAACAAAGGAGGCTACCCTGAAGCTACCGATAATGATTATGTACACAAAGTGGATAGGAACTGGGTGAAGCCAAGACTTCTCAGTAAACTTTATATTTAGCTTTGATTTTTAAGATCTATACATGTTTTGCATAAAGAGGATTAAAACAACTGTGCATCAGCTCAAGATCCTGGCCTCTGAGCTGGGTGCCAGGAGCAGAGGTGACTCCAGCCTGCTCCCATTTGGGGGATCAGGTGCGTGCAGTGAGTGGGGTGATGCTGCTGACAGCTGCACTGTAAGGAGGGGAGGGAAACAGACAGTGAGCTTCAGACACAGGGAAACAGGGGTTGGGAGAGGAAAAAGCAAAGTGCCACCATATAAGGAGGGAAGGAGGGACCACGGGACAGAGGGCAGTGGCAGTGTGCATCAGGCAGCCCGGAGAGGCTCCTCGCTGGTAACAGTCTCGGAGAAATGGGACAGCCATGCCTGTACAGCCTCAGGGAGGGTGCTCCCAGCACAGGTGGGCCAAGCCCTGGCCTGAGCGGCCAGGCAAAACCCACAAGCAGACAGAGTCAGTCTCCATCCCAATCCACTGGAATCCATCAGAACACACTGGGCCAAGCCCACATGCAGGCGCGAAGATCCTGGAGGACTCAAGTCAGAAGCTGCTGTGCCTGTGGTAAGGTCCACACAGCAGGGCAGAGGAAAAGCATCAGGGAAAGGAAAGCCAAGTGCAAGGTCCCAAGGTCACACCACAGCAGAGATGTCAGACACTTCCTGCCCCTCAAGTGCACAAGGATGCAAGACGGGGCCGCCAACCAGGGACACACACACACAAGCCTTGATGCCCGTGGTCTTACTGGGGTTTTGCTGGGTGTCGGTCAGTATGCACCGTACCCATGGCCCAGGGCTCAGCACAGGAAAACAGGTATTCACCAGAAAGCACATTATTAGCATAACTGGGCACCAGTGATTCCCCTTCCCATCATGTTTTGTTTTTTGTGACAGTGTTTCACTCTGTAGTCCAGGCTGGCCTTGACCTCACAGTGATCCTCCTGCCTCACCCTTCTGAGTGCTGGGATTACAGGCATGGACACCATGCCCTGCTCTCTAGTTCATTCTTAGCAGGCAGGACATTCTGATCTCCTGGGGCTAGTCAGGGGCCAGCAGGGGAACCAAGCCTTTGTCTGGAATGTGCAGGGTCAAAGCAACCCAAGCTCACTGGTCAATCCTTCACAACACACAGGATTTTAAACTAGAAAGCTACACTGGGGTCTGGGGATACGGCTCAGTGGTAGAGCCTTGCTTAGGGTGTGAGACCCTGGGTTCAGTCCCGAGCACTACAAAAAGGAAAAATGTAAAAAATAAAAGGAAGAAAACATGATTACTAATTCTCTTGAGTTTACATAACAATTTCATTGCCTGCATAAATAATAACAGCTTTCATCTAAAAGTTATATTGGGCCAGGGATTTAGCTCAGTGGCTCCGCTGCCTGCCTTGAAAGCGCACGGACCCGAGTTTGATCCCCGGTACCAAAAAAGAAAGTTATACCATCAATTTCTGGTATTTTGAATTTTTACTAATTTTATTAATTTGAAGATTTACTAATTTGAAAGTCAGTGCTTTCTTATTTCACATCAGTTCAAAGCACTGATTATATGGCCATGACAGAATAATTCAAATTTATGGGACTCTGTATTATACTGGATCAAAGGTAAATAAAACAAACACAAACAGATACTTACCCTTTCTTTTGGGTGCTGTCCAAAGAAGTCTGGGTGAACTGCAAAGTAGAAAGGCCTCAAGGCGTGGACTGCCTCTGCTCCCGACAAAGCTCGGGAGTAGTGGAACCCGTGTGGGCGGATCTGCTCCAGACAGAACCTTGCAAAGAGACGAGGGGTTATTCTCAGTCCTAGAAACACACATTCCCACAAGGAAGTAACAGTCAAATTAAAAGTACTCCATAGGGAAAACACTGCAGGAGCAAGATAGGAACGTTGCAGTCTTTGAAATCTACTAGGTTTCAGAAACAGAGGTTCTATATTCCTCTAATGCAGTGAGAAATATTAAGCAACAATAACATTTCTTCTGCACCATTCACTTTAAAATATTAACTGGCTTCATTGCCAATGATGACAGTTTTCTCTATAAAGTACAAGGTTTGGGTCCCCAATGAAAAACCAAAACTCAAAGCTTACCTTCTCAAAGGTCTCAGGTGGCGAAACATTTCTGAATACGTGTGTATGTCAGCTTCCAGGCATTCATCAATTGCTTCAAAAGGTAAGCACATACCACAAATGAACAAGTGGAATTTGAAATTAAAATCACATTATCATTTACAGTACCACCTCCCAAAATGAAATACTTAGGTATCAATCTAACAAAGTATGTACAAAATTTAGATGCAGAAAACCACAGAACTCTGGTAAAAGAAATCTGAGAACTAATGAAGTTGGGAGAGATAGCCCATGTTCATGGATGAGTCAGCACGTCAAGATGTCAGTACAATTCTTGTCAGTGACAGTTAAACTGGACGGTAATCTAACTGGCTTGTGGGCTGCCTACGGATTAGTAAGGTGGACTCTGGATGCGTCTGGGTGGCTCAGGGAGGCCTGACCTTGGGCAGCATACCTGGTCCCTCACCCTTTCCCCTGGCACTGCTCCCCCGCTCTGCTTTCCAGCCACCATGAAATAAGCACTCTGCCCTGACAGGCCTTCCACTGTGCTGTTAGCCACATAAATCTCCTTCTTAATACAGTATCTCAGTGAATTATTCTGTGGATATTAAAAAGTTTATAGAGATCCACAGTATCCAGCTTAATGTTGAAGAAGAAAGTGGGAAGACTGATACTACTTGACTTCAAGGTTTACTCTAAATACATTAATCAAGATAGGGAGGCACTGCCAAAAGAAAAAAAGACAAATAGATCCATGAAACAGAAAATAGGGCAGAAACAGACATAATCAGGTCATCTCTGAAAGGAAAAATGTAGCTAAAACAGTGTTTTCAACAAATGAGATGGAACAACAGGCATCCACATGTGAAAAAAGCAACCTAGACACAAACATCACATCCTGCACAAAAACTATCTCAGAGTGAAGCTGAGCACGCTGGTGCACACCCATAAGCCCTGCACTCCAGAGGCCGAGGCAGGACTGCAAATTCCAGCCCAGCCTGGACAACTTGGTGACTTAGTGAGACCCTGTCTCTAAAATAAGTCAGTAAATAAAGACTGGGGATACAGCTCAGTGCAAAGGCCCTGGATTCAATACTCAGTACCACAGAAACAAAAACAAAACAAAATGGACTGCAGACCTCAATGTAAAATACAAAACTATAAAATTCCCAGAGGATAACTGCAAAAAAATCTAGATGACCTTGGTCAAGGAGACTTTTTAGACAGGACCAAAGGCACTGTTCATGAAAGAAATACTCAATACACTGGAAATTGAGCTTTAAAACTTCTGCTCTGTGAAAGATGTGAAGACAAGGAGACAAACCTAGACAAGGAGACACACTCTGAGAAAAACACACACCTGGTAATGGACTATTTTCCACAACAGACAACAAACTCTTCCACTCAACAGGAAGAAAACAATCCAATTAAAAAATGGACAAAAGTCTAGAAAACACCCACCAGGAAGACAATATAAATGGCAAACAATCATAGAAAAGATGCTTAGCATCAATGACATCAAGGAGCTGCAAGTTCAGATAATGAGATTCCACCCTACAGCTATCAGAATGACCCAAATCCAAAACACAGACACCACCAAATGGTGCCAAGGATGTGGAGCAAAGGAACCTCCCTCACCGTGGGTGAGAATGCTAGGTGCTGCAGCTGGGCAGCTTTTTTTTTTTTTGGTACCAGGGATCAAACTCAAGTCCTTGGGCTTGGGCAGTAGGCGGTGAAACTACTGAGCTAAATCCCTGGCCCCCTACTGGGCAGCTTTTTACACACCACACTTGTATCACCCCACCCAGCAATGGCAGTCCTCGGTATTTACAAAAAAGAACTTCCAATGCAGGCACACACCAAAACCTGGACACATGTTACAGTGGCTTCATTCAAAACCTGGAAGTAATACATAGGTCCTTTAGCAGGTGAACGGATAAACGACGACATATTCAGACAACAGAATTATTATTCAGGCTAAAAAAAAAAAGCTTTTGAGCCATGAAAAGACATGGAGGAAACATAGCTGCATAACCAAGAAGAAAAAGCCAATCTGAAGAGGCACAGACTGCATGATTCCAACTATAGGACTGTCACGAAAAGCCAGCGATAGTAAAAGGGTCGGTTGCTGCCCAGGGTCAGGGCAGGGAGGAATGTATGGTCAGAGCCCAGGGGATTTAGGGCAGCAAAACGATGCTGTCTGAAACCACAGTGGTGTAAATGCATTCTGCACACCACATAAAGCAACTCCGCAGCATGGACCCTGGGTGCCACAGACTGCCACCCATGTTCTGCCTGGTGTGGGCTGCAGACGAGGTCATGCATGCAGTGGGCAAGGTAAGTGGGAACTGTACCTTCCGCTTAATTTAGCTGTGAACCTAAATCTGCTCTAAAAATCAGTTTTTTCCTCAAAGAGTCAAGCAGATAAAAGAGGGAAAGAGATTTGAAATCTCATGGAGTTTTCTACTTCAGATCTGTAGTAAGACATTCACGCCTATTCTGGTTTATCAACTGGCCAGAAACGGCTGTCAGCAGGTGGCAGGGTATTAAGTGCTTTAATGTTTTTTTTCTTACTTCTCAGTTTATTTACAAAGAACATAAAAAATGTATTCTTAAAAAAAAATCAAAGCTTTTTACCATGCAAATGATAGAAAATGAGTCCAGCAGAAAACGTGTGCTATTCATTATTTCAGGCCCCACCCTAGGAATGTCTCAGGAGTCCTGGACTGTGGTCTCTGCCATTCATTCATTCATTCATTTTGGTTATTTTTGAGACAGGGTCTCACTATGTAGTTCAGGCTGGCCTGGAACTCACTATGTAGGTCAAGCTGGCCTCAAACTGGTGATCCTTCTGCCTCAGCCTCCTGAGTGCTGGGGTTACAGGCATGTGCCATGATGCCCAGCTGCTCATTTAGGTTGTAGTGCCAAGAACCTGTGCATCCTGGGCAAGTGCTCTCCCACTGAGCTATATCCCCAGCCCTTTATTTCTCACTTTATTACAAAAACTTATGCTATCTGACTGCATATTCTAATGAATGAGCTTGGTTTAGAGCAAGAAGCTTGGCTGTCACTAGACAGCAAATCTGCAGACATCCTGACACTGGACTTCCCAGACAGTGTCCTTAGTAACTGACCCTCCTCCCAGTGCTGGGGTTGAACCCAGGGCCTCCCATGGGCTAGCCCACAATCCTACTATGGACCTACATTCCCCAGGCCTCCTTAATGTTGCTTGGTCTGGAACATGAAGCATATTGTTCATAAGATGAATTATATAGCACGCTGTAGAAGCATTTCCATCAAAAATAATCAAAGCAAAATTACAAAGTCTGTAAAGTTCTTGTCTTCAGTCATCCAGAAAAATCAGTTCATTTGCTGTTCATTTTGTAATTCTAGGGTATTATCAGGGTTCACATCCAGATGATCCCCTGAAGTCTCACGTGCTCCCAAGGGGTGTTCTGGGAGGTGGCTGGACCACGGTGTGTGACACTAGATCAGTCCGTTGGTGGGTTACAGTTCTGAGGTGGACAGTGGATTGATGGAAGAGGGAAGCCCCACCCTGGGCAGCATGAGCCACATGTGCCACAGACTTTCATTGGTCTTTTCAGTAATAATAATAAGCCACCGGAAAATCTTTTGCAGAGAGAAGCTGAGCCGGTCCCAGCACCCGGAAGGAAACTCCCCCGCCATCCCAAACTCCTAGGGCAGAGAATGTGAGCCTCGTGGGCGCCAGAAGCACCCCACCCCCACCCCGTGGAAATGAGAAGACACGTAAACAAGCCTCAAAAACAGACTTCTGGATCACCTACAGCAACCCCAAAGGGAAACGAGATGGAACAATCTGATACTCAACCACCTGGACTCTCTGAAGTGGCAACAAAAGAGGATCTGGGAAAAATGAAATCAGAAATAATTACTCAGATAACAGCAAAGATTGTGCTCATAGTGCAAGACATGATTAATAAATCTAGAGAGGACACAAATAATAATAAGCCACCAAATGAGACAGGCATGCATGTACTACTGGTGATGCAAGCTGCCCAGCAGTGAGATGTACAATTTACTGCTGTCTTAATGTGTTAATGCTTGGAAAAGGGGCAATAGATTCTCCCATGTTTGTATTCTAAAAGTCTGAGCTATTAAATCATTGAATCATGGTTTCTAAATTTAGAAGGATATTTTTAGAAATAGGGTATTATAGGTTCAATTTGCATGAGTCCCTGTGTGCAGTCCAGGATGGACACACTCCTTACGGGGCACTGGTACACGTGACATTCAATGATTTCTTCAACCCCTTCCCTTCCTCACTGTCTCCCTCCCTCCAGTACTTGATACCCTTCCCATTTGAGAAAGATCTATCTCTATTTCCTGTTGTCTTTTATTTTGCTCTGTATTTATATTTTGGTTTTTTCTTATAAAAGAAATCATGCAATATTTAAGGTTGTCTGATTTATTTCAGTTAACATTATGATCTCAAGGAGCTTCCATTTTCCTACAAACAACATTTTCCTACATTATGACATAGTGCTCTTTTGTGTACACATACTACACGGAAAGATATTTCCTGCCTGCCTTTGTGTGTACTAGGGATTGATCCTAGGGCCTTTGCACTAAGCTACATTCCCTAGGCCTTAAATTTTTTTTTTCCTTTTACATTTTTGAGGCAGGGTTTAGTTAAGTAAGTTGCCCACGCTGGACTTGAACTTGAGAGCCCCCCTACCCTTGCTTCAGCGGCTCAGTGTGCTGGGATGACTCGTATGTACAACCACACCTGCCTCTACACCTCCTTTTTATGTGAGTAGGCTTCAGGAGAGTGAATGAGAATGTGGGCCTTTGTGGGCTTGGTCCAAACTAAGATGCCTTATGTGTGAAAACCCAAAGGACTTTGAAGACTGAATACAAAGAATGCAAAGTATCTCCTAATCTTTTATTGCTACAATATGGGCCCTTCAGAGAAGTTTCTTTAATATGAAATAGCACATGGGCAAGTGGTGGTGGGGAGGTGTTAGATCCTCAGAACTTTCCACAAAATGTTAATGATCTGAAATGATTAGGAGTGAACTTTCTATAATGAAAAAGCCTTAAATGATATGTGAAGACCCTAAGGAAAACGAACCAATTCCGCAGTTCCTTCCTTGGGTTTAACAAGCAAGTCTAGTGAAAGCATAACATTTCCATGGCAGCAAAACAGTCTGGGAATCTGAGTGTAGTTGAAAAAGCTAGAGATTCCTAAATCCTTTTTTTTTTGGTACTGGGAATCGAACTCAGGACCTTGCACTTGCAGGCAGGCATGGTGCCCCTGAGCTAAATCCCTGGCTCTAAATCCTTTTTTTTTTGGCATTGGGGATTGAACTCGGGTCCTTGCGCTTGCGCAGCAGGCAGCAAAACCACTGAGCTAAATCCCTGGACCTCTAAATCCTTTTTTTAAAAAATTGAATTGAGCAGGGAATGGCATTACATGCTTATAATCCCAGCACTTGAGAGGCTGTGGTAGGAAGATCACTGCCATGTTTGAGCCCAACCTGGGCTACATAGTGAGTTCAAGGCCACCCTGGACTACACAGTGAGACTCTCAAAAAACAACAACAAAAATCTAGCTACTCCTACACTAAAAAAACCCTAATTTTGGTGAAAGAGGGATTGAGTCATACTTAGAGGAAGATGCCTACAGATACAAATGATACTTCATTTTACTATCTACACAACCAAATTATTGTTCTAAGACAGCCACTTCCTATACAAATCTTTGGAAAAATTCAAGGTGTATTTTCTGGCTCTGTTTAAGAATCAGAACAGAAACTAATGTTTCCCCTTGCAGTCCTGACTCTTCATTTACAGTGTTTTCCCTAAAGTTTCCTTTAAGAGTGGGCTCTGAAGACTAAGAGAGAGGGAAGCTGTAATCTGATCAGACTCCAGTTTTGGAAAAGAGAAAAGGGGTAAAGGTAGAGAAAAATAAACAATCTTCAGGAAAAGTTCTCAAAGGGTGACTACATCAGCTGGGTGGGGCGCAGCAGTTTGTGTCAGGGACTCCCAGGTCCACTCAAGTCTGACAACCACTACTTTAGGGACAGAGGATTCTGGGGTGTCTGTCAGAAAACTTTAACCTTAAACTCTTTAAAAATACCTGTTAAATACAAACTCAGGAAAACATGTTTCAAAATAGTCAAATTCTAAAAATCAAATGCGGGTTTCAAATTTTTGCTTGCACTGGCTTGTTCCTTGCTTCCTGTGTGGTTTATCTACTTTTTTTTGACTTTCTGAGAGAAGGCCTCACTGTGTGGTCCAGGCTGGCCTTGAACTCCTGGGTATTCTCTTGCTTGAGCCTCCCAGGAATGCTGGGATTACAGGTGTGCACCACCACACCCAGCTTCATCTACTTTTTTTTTTTTGGTACCGGGGATGGAACTTGGGTCCTTGAAAGCTTTGAAGGCAGGCAGCAGAACCACTGAGCTAAGTTCCTGGTCCTACTTTTGAGATTTACAAAAATAAAGTCCAGGACCAGGGATTTAGCTTAGTGGTTTCGCTGCCTGCTGCATATACACAAGGACCCGAGTTCGATCCCCGGTACCAAAAAAAAAAAAGTCCAGGTGGAGACAACTTTGAGCCCAGTACCAGCAAGGCTGCCTGCTCCTGCAGCACAGCTCCGGCCTTAGTCCTCAGCCTTGCAAGACTTACAGAGGCCAATTTTATCACTTCAGAAATCAGCATGTCCTGGGAAAATGAAATCAGCAGCCTAACTGATAACAAGAATGTCAACCTTTTACTCTACTGTGAAAATACAACTGTTAAGAAGACCTGAAAGCTCAGATCTGAGGCTCTCGCTCTTACAGGACTCCCGCACAGAAAGTCAAATCATCATCAGCAGTCGGAAGATGACAGTGCTTCCCAGTGGCCTGGGGCATGCACACCTACTGCATGCAGGCTTTTGGCCTTCAGACTTTTTTTTTTTTGACAGGGTCTCGCTAGGTAGTTCAGGGTGGGCTTGAACTCAGTGGGTAGACCAGGCTGGCCTCAAATTCATGGCGATCCTCCTGGCTCAGCCTCGTGATGATGGGATTTCAGGCCAGGGCCACCAAGCCTGCAGGCATTCAGAATTCTTACAGGAGTGGTCCCGTCCACACCCACTATTTTCCATTGGGAAAAGGCCTCAGGCCTGCCGCAAAATAACCAAGGAAGCCACATCTTATCTGAAGAGCTTTGAAACGGGATCAAGTATATAAGAAGTTACTGGGAGTTCACCAGGGACCAGGTGACAGAGCGGGAGACCTGCACTTGGAACAGAAAAATGTGAACACAATTCCAGGCCTCAAACAGAGTCCAGCACAGGAGGGGGAAATGGAAAACCGGACACAAGGAGGTAATTACAAAACACAAGAACTGCCACGACCTGGACACACATAACAGTGCAGCCTCCAAGTGCTACAGGCTGGTGCGAAGCCACGGTTCCGGCGGGGTGGGGAAGGGTACAGCTTGCTTAAAACCACTGTAAATGACAATTTAATGCCCTTCTCAGTGACAACAGGTTTTCTTCTAAAAATAAAATTTCTAATTTTAACCTAAACTCTGTACTACGCCAGGCATTAAACCTTCTGCGCAGCTTCAAACCAAGTTTGGTGCAAAGACAGCTAAACCGATGAGAAACCCAAATCCTGGGACAGTACGTGTGGGGAAAAATTTGTGTTTCTTAAACTGCTCTGGACGGCTTAGGGTTATAATGAACCGTGTCGGGCGCCCTCAGAGGTCCAGGCTGGCGCCGGCCCGGGCACCTAGATCCAGGCTGCTCCCGGAGGGCTGCGCTCCCCAGAGGCAGCGCGAGAGCAGCCGGCCTATTACTAAACCCACAGCCCGCAGGTCCCCCGGCCAAGCCCCCCGGTCGCAGGCTGGGACTCACACCGGACTCGTGCTCCTCACTGCGCCCCGCACCACCCCCACGCCCACACGTGCGCCACGAGCCGCTGTCCCCGCGATCCCCGAGCCCAGGCGCCCACGCCTTACGGTTCTCGCCAGAGTCCGCGGAAGGCTTTGTTCCGGAGCGAGGACGGTCGCTCCGGTCGCCGGGCCACTCAAAAGTGCAAGCGCAGGCAGCCGCAGGGCTCGCCTCCTCCCTTCGCGCCCCGCCCCGAACCGCTGCAGGCCCGCACGTCTGCGGCCCGGACCAGAGGGCGTGGGCCGCACGCCGCGCTCTCATTGGCTGGAGTGTGCCAGGCCTCCTCCCAGGGTGCCTGTGCGCAGGCGCAGCCGGGGCGCGGTCCAGCACTCGGCCTCGCCCCGCCGAGTGACGTCACCCCGTGGCCGCGCCTACCTGACTAGGGGGGGCAGTTGCCCAAGGCTGGCAATTTAGCGCGCGCCGAGGGCCGCATGCGCAGACCGCCCACCCCGCCTCCGGCCGGGCGAGGGACCGGCGGTCTCCGGGCTCCAACGTGCGCCTGCGCCCCGCGTCCTCCTCAGGGCGACGCGGCCGACGCCGGCTCTCAGTCCTGCGCGCCGGCCTCCGGCCAGTTTTAGATGGGAAGCGTGCTGCACCGTCGGCGTGCGCTTCTGAGTTTGTTTCGCTTCTGTAGCTTTGGCTTCCTGTAGAAATGGGGCAAACGGGGGACGGCCGTTTCCACCTTCCTCTCTGGCACGGCTGTGGGGCACAAAAGGTGTCTGTGCCGTCCCAGATCGAGCCTCGCCAACGGGCCCAGAGCCCAGCCCGGCGCGGACGCCTCCCGCCCCGGCCGCAGCAGGGCGTCCCCGGACCCCGCACCCTTCCGGGCCTCCCGCGCTCCCCTAGCACAGCTTTAATGTTCTGTTGTTGTGGGACAGATTACAGGCTCGAGGGTGCTGTGAGACCCAATTTAGCAACTTGGCAATTAGCAGCACCATGTTGAGAATATTCTCCATTTTGCAAATATGTGACTTCAGCTGCACTGTCTGCCGGGAGAAAACCCCACCCCTAACCGATGCCTATAACCGATTTAACCGTAACCCAGGGGAATGGGAGGAGGGACTTTTTCTGTGGTGTTTCCCTTTGAATATGCAGTCCTCATTTCAGTTGGGGCCTTTTGTCCTCCGACTTCGTTGGAGTGTACATAGGTCCCGGCCGGAAAATGAAGTTCTCCAGTAAGTTCTCACGTTTGTCGTGCTTCAAGAAATCGTCGCTAATCTAATCCGGGAACGACGTCCAACACTAACCTCACTGTAAACCCAGCCCCCAATCACACCCCTAGTTCAGGGCATTTTCCCTCTAAATGATTTTATGATTTAAAGTGGGGACCCTCAGATCACAGATCAGTACACGTCCGTGGTGTTAGGAGGTGGGCGGACTTCATCTGTGTTGACAGCTGCCCCCACCCACGGCTTTACCGACCTGTTCCCCCTGGCCAGGGGTTCAATTCCGGGAGGGGGTGCTGCCAGCACTGGAAGCCAGAGGCCGACGGCTTCACATTCAGTGCAAGTGACAAGCTGTATGGGGACCGGCTCTTGTGGCAAGGGAGTTGATGTACATCAACTGTACAGTAGCATCGGTGGCAAGCTTTCAGTCAGAACCTGACACTGTAGCTCGTGCATGGCCCTCTCATCATTTTATTTGCCACTTCTGTCCACGCCACATCTCTTTCCCGCACTGTACACTTGTCTCAGACAGAGTTTTGGGTAGCCCACAAGCTAATTCCAGCCAAAATGAGCAAAAACAAACATCAATAGAAGGCTTCTTGGAAAAGGGTAAAAAGACTCAGTGATGAGACAGAAGACTCTAAGATGCCCAAAAAGAAAAATACATTTAAAAGAAAATATCAAAAGTGCTACTTAAATTATGGGTTCATTTTAGCAGGTGATTCACATTCTCCAAGCCCGCTTTGTATGTAACATGTGACCAGCTGTCCAACAAAGCCATGAACTCTCCAAACAATCCTCATTTAGATATTTAGTAGTATTTTGAAAAAATATTTGTTTAGTCACATCCAGTATATCATAAATCACAAATTTTCAAATTTACAGAGTATTCTCAGATACACTAAAGGAAAACCGCTGTGAAGGTAACTGTTTTGGTACAGATCGGAGGGCGTTTCAGTGCTCAGCTGTCTCGGGATCTCTTTACTGTTCCTGATTACAGATGCAGAGTAGCTTTAGAGACGACTGAGTACACACTAAACCCATCTGATAACCCTAGAAGTTTTTTTTCCTGAAAAGTCTTATTTGCTTATAGATTTTTCCTCTTACTAAATATTCAGTTTCTAATTTATTGTTTGGATTTCAGAATAAAAAGGGATTTACCGTACTTAGATTCTCCTAAAGTGAAAAGATAATTTGAAAAATCACTTCAGTGTAAATAAAACTAGTATGAATTACATGTACCAGTAACAATCTTTGTTGCTTGAAAACTCTTACTGTAAGTCATGAAGTATAAAAGCTGAATATAGTGAAAACGGTCTTTATTGTCTTTTACTGTCAACAATGATTATTTGAACTTAAAAAAAAGCCTTTATTAACTAATGGTTACTGAAAAGCCAAACCTTTCCGGCCCACTTCATATTCTCTTTCAGCCACTTCAGGGCAGAACAGTGTTCCAAGCTGTAAACCTGCTCCTTATTAACGTTGACAGTCACGTGCTTAATGAACAGCTTTGGGTCCGATATGCGAGCAGCCAAAATCAACCTTTCGACTGCAGCTTGATAATCATCCTCGCTCCGAGATTTGTTTTCTTCACATCTATAAAGTGAACACCTCACAAAGTCAGAAATTCTAAAAAGCGGCAATATGATTTCTTCAAAAGAGTCACATATTTATTGGTTCAAAAAGACTGTGATAGTCTTTTCACTCTATTCTTATAGAAGTGGCTTTCAAATGTTCTGAACTATAACTCACAGTAAAAGGGCATTTTATATTATGACCCAGCAACACATTTTTATGCGTAAAAGGTAAATTCAGGTTCCATAAAGCAAGACTTACCCAGATGCACTCTATTTCCTACTGTCTTTCATTTTTAGTTATGCTGGTTGGAACCCACTAAAATGATTTCATCTCGAGATAGTCTGCAACTAATGGTTTGAAAAATATCGATCTGGAACACAGCTAATTTTACCTATATCTTTGTATTTGCAAAGAATGACTATACCTCTATTCATTATACTGCATAAATATTCCACATAATGAAGTTTTAGGTTATTAACAACATGCTAGCTTTATCCTGCTATTGGCTATTTTTAGATAGAACCAAACATTTAATATGTACCTAACATGTCATAACAGAAAATTCTATAGCTACATGCCTCTGTTACATTTCTGGTTATTTTCTTCAGTCCTGTCTAATTAAAGGTGATCCACTAAGTGCTAATATGTACTTTTCTCACAGCTTTTCTACCCGATCCATCTGCTACAAAGGGTGATTGTGTTTACTTGCATGAAATCCATACTTTAGGGCAGCTTTTCCTCTAGGGTAGGGAATGGGAAGTGCTGAGAACAGAAATGTGGCTTTTCCGCTAGGCATCACTACCCTTGTGTTCGTGCTTCCCGTTTTTGGTACCCTGGCCGAAGCATGTTCTGCATATGATCTGACCCACTGGTGATGGAAATGAGGCTTGCATGGGACTGGGACCAGTGTGTAAGATGCACAGGAACCAGTGCTAAAGAAGGAAACGCAGCCAGGTGCTTTCTCCTGCATCCTGACTTAGAAAGGGTGCTCTGGGCATGTGCCAACTATGTGCAGTGTTTAAAGTCAAGATGAACAAAATTCTCAGGGAGATTCAGGTAACAAGCAAGGCTCAGCATAGTTAACGATAAGAGGAAACATACTGGCGTGGATAAAATCAAAGATCTAGACATGCCACTTGTTAGGCACGAGGGTAACGAAACACCACATTCAACAACAAAGGGAGCTGCCCATGTGTGTGCACTGGAAAGCTACAATGGTAAGACATCTCATGCCTCAACAGGAAGCGCTCTCAGAGCTGTAAGAAAAATGGCTAATTTTAGTGGAGTTTAAACAAAATGTAGTGAAGTCCTCTGTCTCCCAAGAAATAGTCATGCGTCTTAGTCTGCAACAGTTTGGCACAAGCTAGCCTAACCTATAGCTTGCAAGCAGGGGCAGAATTTCAGACCCGTCACAGTTCTTGCCTGATATAGATCACCAAATGCACTCTAGCTTTTTCTCTCTTGAATTTGTCTGAGAGAAGTCAGCTGATGATTAGGAAGATGCTCAGGCACCAGGTTTCCTGCCAAGGCACCAGGTTTCCTGCCAAGGCACCTGTGTGAGTTATCCCAGGAAAGGGTCCTCCAGCCCCAGTGACACCGTCACCTAGTTGAGCACAGCTCCTGCCAACCCAACTTCAACATGAAGAACTGGGAGCCAGAGCCACCCAGCTAAACTGATGCACAGAAATGAAGAGAATGTTTGCTGCTTTAAGTCACTAGGTTTTATGGTGACCTATTATATGGTAATAACTAAGACAGCACAGTGTTTGGTATGAGGGTGTGGTTTGTTAACACCAGGAAACAAGTAGAATTCTCATCAAGAAGCTCAATCATGAGTCCTAGGAGATCCTTCTTGATACTACAGGTTTCCCTGATAAGGTTAATAAGAAATCAGAGTTGTAGGAGTCACAATTCTGGGACTTGAAAAGGCGTCACACTGGTCCAACACCTACATTATAATATTGCTGTAGGAATAACATTCTAAAATACAGAAGATCAGCTGGAGGCTTTATTTTCAACAGTATTCTGGACTGAATAAACTATCATACATTTCTCTTTTAGACTCGGTCCTTAGATCTTTTGGGAGGGACCAAAAAGATAACTTTTAGGTAACAATCTCTAAACACAAGAAAGGTTGGTACCTAAAGATCCCTCTCTCTGAACATCTAACATCTTTGATGTCACTAACATGTTTTGTGAATGCTGTTGCCTATGTGTGTGGGGAGGGGAGCGGTGCTGGATCAAACCCAGGGCTTGTGCATGGTAAGCATGTGCTCTACTACTGAGCTGCATCTCTAGCTTCTTGTTTTGGTTAATTCTCTTTTGTTTTCTTCTTTTCGTTTCTTTTCTTTTTTTTCGGTACCTTGCGCTTGCAAGGCAGGCGGTGGAACAACTGAGCTAAATCCCTGGCCTTCTTTTTGGTTTTTTTTTGAGACAGGTTTCGCTATGTAGTTCAGGCTGGCCTTAAACTCATGATGATCCTTCTGCCTCAGCCTCCCAAGTGCTGGGACGGAAGACATGTGCACCATGGCCAGCAGGCCTAATTCTCTGCCAATACAAATGTTAACGAAGTCTGCAACATATAAACATATAAACATGTAAAACATTTATATTCTAGAGCAGGCATGGAAAGCCATGACCCATATTCAGAATGCAGATAAAGTTTTATCAACTAACCTTTTCAGAACTATCTGAAGCACCTGTGTAGAATTTCCCGGACTCTGAATACTACTAGCATTAGATACCAAGAAGATTTCAATAGCTAAAAGCATTTCAATCTCAGATAAATAACAAGGAACAAGTAGAAGTTTTCGGTATAAGTTTCCCTCCAATGGTGGGTAGCAACCCAGAGAAAGAGCACCTGAAAATTAAATGATACATCAATTTTACTCAACTCCAACAGGCAAAAACCTGGACTTCCCAAATATCAAAATATCCATAGGTGACTGAGAGTTATTATACAAACTAATATGGCAGTGAGTTTATCCTTTTTAGGTTTTTAGCAGGTCTGAGGACTGAACCAAGGATGCTTTACCTCTAGGGTACATCCCTGGAGTAGCTAGGGTTACAGGGTGACAGGTATGCACCACCACACCTGGCCGAGTACGGCTGACTTTCCTTTTTCTAGAATTCCTCTAAAATAATAAAGTGAGAATTTAAAAAACTCTGAAAAAGATTTTTGAGTTTCATGCTGGGAAATTCCCATTTATTTCAAGCCATAGTAAATATACCATAATTTCAGAATAATTCAACAGATTAGCTAATTAAGCTTTGTTTTAATGGAATTTGGTCTAACATCAACTTTGAAATATTTATAATATATTATCTATTTAGCTGTCCCATAATTACAGTATTTTCAAGTGTACTGATTTCTAGTGCCATTCATGGCTTATGTGGTACTTAAAGTTCCGACTGCATGTTTGGCAGTGTGCTAAGCACTCAGGTTAAATATATTTCCCCACTGCAGTGTTCACAACACGATGGCTATGCTCGCCAATTCACATCCTAAAACTCTCACTTTTCAAGAGAAGAGATCGTTAAACTGTTTAGATGCTTTTTAGGAGTACTAAATAGGGGAAAATCTCTTTAAAACTCCTAGGACATCAAACTGTATGCAGGAAATGCTATAGTGTGATATTTTGCCAAAATGAATTTAAATCTGTATGTAAAATATGTTCAAAATGTTCAAAGATTTTCAAGAACTATTTCTACCATGGATGCTAACTACTAATCCTTGGGAACATACCATGTTCTCAGGTATCTGTCTCATTTTAACCTGACAATTTACTACCTCTGAAATGAGGTGGCACTGCTCCCATGTTCTAGGTGTGATTATAAGACATTAAAGAGTTTTTATTGCAAATGTTAAGCCATGTCTCAACATAAATCCAAAGGATGTTTCAGTAATATTTTAAATGTGCGCACTGAGGTGTTTTGAGGACTTCAACGACTATAAATTACTTCACTTGGTTTTATAATTCAGGTACATTTAAAAAAAAAATCAAGAAGACTCTACCCCATCACCTCACTTGCCTAATTCCCAGAAGTTACAATGCATATGAAATAAGGTGTAAGTGTGATTACATAAAAGGAAAAGTGCTAATGCAAAAGGTCCTAAATTATACATAGGCATTAATTGCTTTAGTGTACGGCTAAAAAAAAATCTTTAAAAGTAGTTCTTAGTAGGAATGAAGGATTTAGGGAGAATGAAGAATGACTGGTTATGGGCATGAGGTTACTTTCTGGAATGACGAAGATATTCTAAAATTGACTGTGGTGCTGATTATACAACTCGGTAAATACCCTAAAACCATTGTATGATTTTTTTTTTTTGGTACCGGGGAACGAACTCAGAACCTTGCGCTTGTGAGGTAGGCGGTGGAACCACTGAGCTAAATCCCTGGCCCCCATTGTATGATTTAAATGGTGAACTGTCTGGTATTTGAAAAAATATCCCATTGAAGCTGTTAATAAACTGTTTAGCTGCTTTAATGCAAAATTTTATTTCAAACTATATATATTTATAGAAAAGTCATTTACAGCTTTTTCAGGTTTATACTTTGTTCAGACAGCATATAAATACTTCTGATGGCTTTTCATCCTTATTTCACCATTATTTCAAAAGTAACCTTCCCATAACTTCAATCCTAAACACTAAAATCAGAAGCACAGCAAATACACAAAGCACAGCAAATATGGGTGTGGCTACAGTAGCCTGTAGGAAAGCAGGATATAGAGCCAAGATATACACATGACTGAAAGCAGGTGCTGTGAACACAATTCTAACTTTCTTCTAAATGTTTTCCCTCCACCCTTGGCCCCCTGTATCGGGGAATCGAACTCAGGACCTTGCACTTGCGAGGCAGGTGCGGCACCACTGAGTTAAATCCCTGGCATTCCTCATCTTCTTTTAAAAAATTCTTTCAAAAAATTTTTTAATATACTTTATGTAGTAACCCAGCACATACATATGTTACTGAAATGAAAGTCCTACCAATACTTAACTTTACTACTGGCAATGTACCCTAATGCTTTCTTCCCATTTCATTGTGGGGGTAATGTTGCCGCCTGCTAAAGTGACCCTAACGGCAGCTTGAGAAACACGTCCTGCTCAGGCAGAGACGGCTCGGACACTTGACACATTTGGCTCAGGAAGACACCATGGACACACGTTTGTTGTATGCACAACTGTAACAGGAATGGAAATTTAAGACAAATTATGCCTGAAGGTGGAAAAAGTTCTATTCTAGATCTAGATTCTACATGGAATTACTTTTGAATTAAAATACCTTTGAGGAGGCTGAGACCAGAGAAAACACTGGTTTTCTAGGCTCGCTTGTTAGAGAGGAACAGCTGTGAACTGACTGAGGCAGTCCCAGCAGCCGCGTAAAACACTGCCGAGTCCCATCTGCTGCCTTGACAGGCATCGCAGGGTCTCCACAGTGCCTGCCATGGCTATTCTAAGTTGCAAGGACCCAGGATACAGCAGGGGAAATAAAATGTGTGGATACTCTTTAAACCTCACTCTGCTCAACTGTTTAACTCCTACATTATTTATAAGATGTCAAAATGGTCCAAATTCTATCATTTATTTCCTTTGCTTCCCCTCTAGCAGATATGCTAATGTGCAAAGAAATAAAGATACAATAATTGGAAACAGAAGAGAAATAAGCTTTAAAAGCACAGATCTGTTCAGACCACAGTCTCTGAATACGTATCAACTGCTATTTTCTCATATTTTAAAATGTGGTCTTAAATAATAGATGGACCCCGAATTAGAAAATAAAACTAAAAATGATTATCAAATTCAAAATTTTTAAATGGAACTCACTTTTGTAGTGGGTTCTGGCTTTGAGCCATAAGCAACTCCTTCCTAAAGAAGTTATTAATCTTCTCAGAAAGGAAAAATCAATAGGGATCTTCCTGGAAACCATGAATTCAGCCACCGAGGATGACATGCCAAGACTGTTGCTTTCTATGCAGGCATCTAAGAGCTTATTAAAAAGCAAGCTATGCTGTGAGACCTCCACAGTTTCTGAAATGAAAAGAATTGGTAAATCAGATCGACTTCATCTCGGTCTCTCAGACTTCTTACTCCCTTTTCCCTTGGCCCTTTCTTACCCACTGTAGGAGTCACAGTCATTAAACTGCAATCGTCCTACAGATATTCCAAGTAAGAAACAGAAAAGCATGAGACAAAATCAACAGTGCTTACTTTCTCTATGATGTGGAATGTGAAAAGCAGCCCAACCAAGATTTCTGAGGCTGCATGAGCACCTCTGCATTCAGTCCCCACAAGACTGTACCTGCAGTATCTATAATAGCATCACCATTCTGTTTTTGAAACTACAGCTCAGACCTCGGATTTCTATTTCCTGTGACTAAAAGTACATCAATCCCCAATAAGTATCGACTCTCAGACTAAATACTCTTTAATGGGTATTTTGATTCCTTTTGTTATTCTTAGAGGAAAGAAAAGTTGCATCTCAGAGACTTCCAACTCTATTCTGTTGGGTCTATCATCTGGACTCTAGGGCTTTATCACTTTAGGATCTTTTAGTGGTGCAGGCCTCAACAGGAAATTGATCCTTTACACTTTTAGCATCAAACGCTCTCACTAGAGGAGCTTGCCTAAAACACCAAGTTTGTTGCATCACTCCCTAGCTTCAGACTCTAGGAATCCCTTGACATTGAAGAAAGCTCTTTTAATTTGCCGTTCTTAGGGTCTTCCAAACTCTGGCCCAACTACTGTCTGTGTGGCCTCCCTCTGACTACTTTATCAACAACACAGTTGTCCATTAAGGGGCTCGACACAGCAGCCATTGTGCCAGGTGAAGATAGAATATCACTTAAAGGAGCTCCCCATCTAGAGGGGGAAAGAGATAACGACACCACAACCCAGCAGCTCCGTGGAGCACATGGAAAAATGAAGAGCTGTGGAGGGTGTGACAAAGGCGCTGACGGGAGGCAAACCTTGCAGGGCTCCCAGTGAGGCACACGTGCCAGGCTGTCGCCGCTGCTGCCCTCAGCTAACACTCCCGTCTTCCCTGGGGGCCGTCATACAGCTCACCCTGACCCAAAGCTTTCACCAGGATTCCCTCTGCCTGGCCACCCAAGGTCTGAGCTTCCGCCTGGGAGAGTTTTAGCTGCCACTGCCTGTGGAGGAAGTTCTTTCTTTGAACTGCTTGCATTTATTCCAAGTTTATTCATGTTCCAAAATAATGTAAACTAAGTTCTGTATTTAGTGATAGGAAAAAAAGGTATTCTTCATTATTCTTTTTTTTTTTTGATACCAGGGATCGAACTCGGGACCTTGCGCTTTTGAGGCAGGTGCCAGAACCACTGAGCTAAATCCCCGGCCCTGTCTTCATTATTCTGATGCAATTAATTCTTTAAGATGCAAAGCTTGCTGGGGACATGTAAGCACACTGCAGATGACACAAGTAGAGAAAGAGGAAAGATGAATATGTTCTTGTTAGGAACTGCTGACAAACAATCCAGAGATAAGCATCTCAGATTTTTTTACACCATCAGGAAAGTATATCTGATCTTCAGAGAACACATTTTATAGAAAATGACTTCATTAAAAATATGCTAGAGAACCCAACCAAAACAGGTGGAAAACAGTTTCTTATTAACAGTTAAACACCAGATGCTCAAAAGATAATTAGGTTAGATTTTTAAAAGACATACCTTGAGAATTTTGAAAACCTGGTAGGTTCTGTAAAACTTCAAATGTCTGTCTGTAAAGGCTCTTGGGTAAGATTTCATGTGCAATTGTACAGAGCAAATTATGTCGATTAAGCACATCCAGTCTATCACAAGGCCAAAGTGGCGTACTGATTATCCATTCTGATTCTTCCAAAAAAAAGAAAAGGAATACTTTATACTTTGAAAAATATACTTACCAGTATAATCGCAAGTATTTAAAAATACCTTTTGGAGAATGTGGCAAAACGTGAATGTGTTCAAAACTTAAATGAGTTCAGCATTATTAGAAACAACTTATGTAGAGATGGTCCTCATCCTAAGTGGATAAAAGCTAACAGTCACTTTCTTATATTTTTATTAATTCTTCATTCTTCTAAAAGTTATTAATTCTAAAGGTTTTATATGACAAAAATATTTAGGTTATAATGAATACCCTAATATAAAATATTACTTGTGTGCACAGGTTCAACAATTTTACAACAAAGAATACATAATTCAATGAGTTCTTGGTACTGCTGAGGAACAGCTTTTCTCTCTAGTTTATTTTTAAAACAATTTCTGCTAGGAAACATTTGACAGGCACAGAATATTTAACACATGTAGGTTACAAAACTGTAAGGTTATAGTGCAGAACACTAAGTGGCTAAAATGTTAGAACTGTCAACATTGTATCATTTACCTAATCTACTCATTCACTACTCTGTTTGCGTCTTGGTCTTGGTGTCTTTCTCAACTGCAACAGGCGTAGAAGTAACCCTTTCCTTCCGTGATCTCACCAGCATGGTGAATATAAAAAGTACTGAAGAAAGATCTGATAAGGCCAAGAGTAAGTTTTACAAACCCCCAGGGACGCCTGTGATGTCAGCTGCTCAGGAAGCCAACCTGGGCAACTTAGTGAGGCTCTATCTCAAAATAAAACTTTAAAAGAAGGCTGGGGACATAGCTCAGGAGAGCGCTTGCCTTGCATGTGTGAAGCCCTGGGTTCAGGGCCCATATCCCACCCCCATTCTAGAATAGAATTGGTCAACAAAAGGAAATATCCATTTTAAACTTTTGACAGTTTGCTAAAAAACCCTTAAGACAACCTCTCTGTGAGTGTCCATTTCTCCATACCCTCACAATTACATCACCAAGCTTTGATCTTTGGTAGCCTGGCAGGCTCAGAGCGGTGTTTTGTAATTTTAATGTATATTTTCCTTATTAAGAGTCAGTATTAACCTCACTTAGCACATGTCTGACCCATTGTATTTTCTTTCTAATGAATGGTCTGTTGACTGGAAAAGCTTTTTCAGAACAAACACATTCTCAGGACACCAAACACTTCTGTAGGGCCTTCTTTTGAAAACAAAGTTTTACTTATAAAAATTACTAATGAAATTGTCATTCCGAAAAAGGAATACGGTATTTATAGCTGACAGAATTTAAAAGATAATCTCAAAACTGAATCATCAAAATTAAATGTCACCTCTCACTGCACATGACTCCCACAACTGTCCACACTCTCTAGTCTAAGAAGAGGTTCTTCCAGAGATGTTCAGGCGCAAGAGTCCTGGTACGAGATGTGCTCCAAGCCCTTTTTTTTTTCAACTGCTTCCCTGTTCCCACTTCTTGCCACATCTCTTGTCTCACATAGTGTGTGAGCTCTGGCTTGCATTAATATCTATTTCTGTAGCTTGGTTACTCTTCTACTTAGGAATCCTCCCTGGCTATGCGCTAAGTTTAAGAAAATCTTTTCCACCAAGCTTTTGATGGTGTTGCTTACTCACAACCCCAGTATTCCATAAACCCTCAGTAGTGAACAAATACAAGGGATTATATACTGTGTATATATAATATATATGTACATATTCACGTGTGTAGGACATGGTGTTAGCACATGTGTTTGTGGGTTAGCATAAACTTGGCTTTACTCATGTAAACATCTATCTTCCCACCCAAAGTGAGATTGCTGAGCATTCTTCATTCTCATCGTTCATAACACAGCAGTCCAGCAAATTCAAGCAGCTGATGACCTCATCCTGGAACCCTGTATTCTGCCATTCGTTGATACCAAGCACTTTGTATTTCTTCTGAAGCGGCCGCATCAGTTTCAGAAAGCTCAGTGGCATAGATTTCTTCAAAATGAGGGCTCATGAATTTTGTGACTTCTCCATCTCCAGCACCTAAATCAACAAGTCTATGGGTTTTCCAGTCAGGATTAATTTTAAGTCGTCTCTGAAATTGATCTGCTGGAAACACACACATTGAGCCTCTTCCCAGCACCCACTGATAGATGTTCTAGACATAAACAGGCTAAATACAGATAACAGGAAAGAAGGATTGGATAAACAGCCAGGATGATTTTTCAATGCTATTGTTTGAGATCTGTGTCCCTTGACCAAGGTAAATGAACGAAGACAGCCTGCAGTGACTCACAGAACCTCTCTCTGTTGCACACATACCACTGGTGGGTCTCCTTCCTGCCGTCTGCACACTCGGGCCGCTCGTCATGTTCACGAATGGGGAGCAGGTGAGCGGGATCTGCAGCGTCCACATCCTCCGCGCCAGCCACAAGGACGCCAGGCTCAGGAGCAGCCAGCCCGCCCACAGTCTCATTGGGAGCCGCAGCCGCTGGCTTGGATCACTGCTGGAGTGGGGTGAGGACAGGGCGCCGCTGCCTCCGGCCTTTGCCCCTAACACTTGCCCATCCAGCCCTTCAGGGCCGAGGCTGGGGTTATCTCCCTATTTTTTATGGTTGATCTTTTATTTTGCTCTTTGATTTAGTTATACGTTGAGTTTCTCATGTACGAGAAATCATATGATTTTTAAGTTTGTGCATCTGATTTATTTCACTTAACATTATGGATTCAAGGTGTGTCCATTTTCCTACAAATGACTCAAGTTTATCCTTCTTTATGAGAGAGCAGTGCTCCACTGTGTATAGACACCACATCTTCTTTACCTGTTCATCTGCTGATGGACATTTAGGCTGCTTCCAAGATTTAGCTTTATGAGCTGTGCTGCTATGAACATGGGTGCATGTGTTCCTGTAAATGATGACTTTACCTCTTGGGAAGATACCGAGAAGGAGACTAGCTGTTAAAAGTTCACATTCCCCTTTCAGTTTACACCAAAACAACCTTTTCTATATATGCATTCATTGGGGTTCAATATGAGCTTAGGTAATTATGTAGACAAGAGTTTATAACAAGTTTAACAGATGACTTGATGCTTTTTTTTTGGTACTGGAGATTGAACTCGGGACCTTGTGCTTGCGAGGCAGGTGGCAGCACCACTGAGCTAAACCCCGGGCCCTGACTTGATGCTTTCATATATCAGAACTTACCCCTCAATACCCAAATGGCACCATCTAGGCTTCCACTTTTTAGAAAAATTTCTGCTGCGACGTTCACAATTTGACATCTTGGTGCTAATTTTGCAGGCCCTGTGAGTCCTTTTAAACTTGTAAAATGTATTTTTAACTCATACAGCTTATCCAAGACCTTCCTTCCCTAGAGTGAAAATAAAGAACACTAAGTGGATATCAGCCATCTGCAGTGATGGAGGTAGCTGGCAGCAGCAGGCAGAAGGCAGCGCTTAGTTTAGTCACCACCCTAGACTGAGGTTTCCAGACTGCCCAGGCTCCTCCCTGACTCCACCCTGCCCACCCTGGGAGGGAGGGGAATGGGAGAGGCAGGGTGCTGCCCCCTCCCCACCCTCCTCCAGCATCACCACTGGCCCTTTATCAGCAGTGCTCGCTCAGCAGTTTAGATCCCATGCATCCTTCTTAGTGTTTCCTCTGGCTTAACGTGGAAAACTACTGATTCTAGGCTTTTCCTCTTCTGTTGACCAATCTCAGGTCTGGGAGGGAGGGAGACAGTACAAATGAAGAGGATTTGTTATCAAATTCAGATAAAGAATGATAATGGGGGCCTGGGATTTAGCTCAGTGGTTTTGCCGCCTGCTGCACAAGCGCAAGGACCCGAGTTCGATCCCCGGTACCAAAAAAAAAGAATGAATGACAGTGGTAAAAAAGATAAAATTTTTGCTGAAAATAGGCTTGATTCAATAAGCTATTTCACATAAAGATATCTTTGGCTTAGACATCAGAAATTAGATGTACGTATAATACTATTTTATGCCAGCAGGTGTACTTTTCCTGTAAACAGAGTAAACACTAGTCTTCACAGGCCACCTTTGGTCTACTGCACATTCTTTTTGGTTGTTGTTACTGACTCTTTAGAAATGAAAAAAACATTCATGGCTTGCAGGCTGTAATCCAACAGGCTGCAGGTGTGGTTTGGTTTGTGGGTGTGAGCTTGCAGACCCTTGTTTTTATACTATTTTGGGTCAGGTATTTATTATGATGTCAAAGTACTTTCATAATCTGACTGTATAAATGAGTGCATTTTCAAAGGATACTTTTAATTTCAACAATTTCCTTTTTCTTTCCTGTAGGGCCTTTGGCATACTAAGTGCACACTCTACCACTGAAGTATACCCTCAGGCCACCGTTTTTTTAATGATGTTCAAAAAGGAATAGGCATCATTAAAAATTATACTAAATAAGGTGATAAAAGTAATTTTTCTAAATAAGATAACTAAAATTTTTTAATTAAGACAGAAATTCATCAACCTCCTAAAGTCTTAAGAAATACTAACCAGGCTGCTTGTTGCTTGCTTGCAGCTTGCTGCCTTCTGCCTGCCCTGCTTTGACATGGACTGCTTCTCTGCTGCTATGCCACCCTGCCTTGGAGCCAGCCAGGCATGAACTAAAACCTCTACAAACTGTGAGCCAAAAAACCTTTCCTCCTTAAAATAAAAGTAATATCCAAGTTAAAACATACTCTAAAGTGTCAGCAAAACATCCTGAGTTTTCAAAAAGGGTCTTCTTGTGCGGTAGTCCTCTGATTTCCTTACAGATCCAAGAACAGAATGCTATGGCTCCCCTGAAGCCGGACCTCAAGGGCTGGGATGTGCACATCTCACTCACCAGGCCCACCACAGCAGAGGTGCCAGACCTCCTGGGGGCTTTCTGTACAACTGGGCTAGGGTTTTTAAATTCATAGATTTTATATTTATAGAAGTGACGATGTACTTAAATGTTATCAGACACAGATTCAATGATAAAATTACCCTTTAAGAGGTAGCAAGTAACAAAAGCTACACTTTAACGGCCACCCTCTAGGTAACTCCATTCCTCTGGCACTTCCTCCCTAGTTTAGGCTTTCCTGTCCTCTACTTGGACTTTACTGAGTCCTCTGCTCTGCCTTAGGGAAATCTAAAGAACAGAAACACAGTTATATTGAGTCAGGAGACTACTTCTGTAGTGAGCTATCCTTGAAAAGTCAGACAGCAAGATGTATGGTATACATAGTATCCAAGCAGAGTCTGAGAGGTGCTTTTTCAGGAGTTTTGTTAATTGTGAGAAACATGAGTTCATCTTAAGAAAGGTGTCTTGAACTCTTCCAAAATTACAGTGCTATTGATAGGAGTTGGCAAAATATGTTATGATCTGAAAATTCCTTCAAGTGTGACACCTAGGCAAGCCCCCTAAGTGTTCCCTATAAGGGTTCTAGATTGACCAGCCTCACACCGCCTCCTGTCCACATGTGCTTAGTACACAATTTTATAATTCACTCTTCAGCCTGGCTCTCATCCTATTGCCTGGAATGATTATTAGCAAGTTCCTCATTTGCAAAGTTAACCTATGTTCTGTTTGTAAGTTTTAAAGTAACACTAAACCAAGCCAAAACCAAAACCAAACCAAACCCAAAAAACCTTAATGAAGTACCTTGGACCACTGCAACAGCTTGTGATAGAAGTATATAGCACTGATTCCGATTCTTCCCAGCAAAGTTTTATCTACTTCACTATTCTGTGGATCTTCGTTAACTGAAAAACAGCAGGCGTATGGAAGAAAATGAAATGAACAGTCAAAATGGTAGAAAAGGCCAACTAACATGGGATTATTGGCCAGTTGTTCCCCTCCTTCCTCCCTGGAACCGGGGATCAAACTCAAGACCTTGCATTTGCGAGGCAGGTGTGGGGCCACGGGGCTAAATCTCAGACCCTAACATATGATTTTCAGTGTAGTACTACCACAAGGACAGCAAACTATGTGCCAGCAAACTCTGACCCCAGGGGCCAAACCGAGGCTGCAGCCTGTTTTTGTACATACTGTGAGGTAAAAATGGCTTTTATTTTTAAAAGGTCATTTAAACAGTAGAGAAAAATATGTGATAGAGACTGTATGTGTATATGCAGAGCCTAAAACATTTACTAGCTGGCCTTTTACAAAGTTTGCTGAACCCTTTTGAGAAAGACTGTGCAGTGGAAAGCTCACTTTAAACAATCTTAAAACTACATGAATTGTATTGACTTGTAATAGTGAAAACGGCAGCAACTGTAGTGATTCAAACATTCAGGTGCTCCTGTATAATCTGGCAGCAATAGCTTTACCAATCTCAATGAAAAGAAAGATGAGAATATGAAATATTTAATACTAAGACACCAACTCTTGCCTTTTTAATCATTACAATCCAATTTAATAAGTAGATGGTAAGATTCATAAGGAGGAAGAACATCTGAAACCTGCAACATTAATTTATCCTCAAATAGAAACTGTAGAGCTTTCCATTCCTGTTACTCTGTGACTTCCAAATACATAATACTCAGTTCAAAATAGTGACATTTTACCTGTCTCAGCAAATTCACAGAAAGGAACAGCTGGGTTTTCTTCTTTATAGTCTTTTGTGAGTGTTTCAGCAATACAAGCGCAAAATATTTGGAAATCTGCAAACTTTTCACAGGCCATTTTAACATTAATGTATAAATTTCCCAATTTGGTCCAGTCACCTTTTTCTTTACAATTCTATAAAAAATTATGAAAAAAGAAAAAAGATTAAAAAGGAGAATTGTTATTTATGCAAACATATCTATGGGCCAGGCACACGGAGGCATTAAATACACAGAGATTAATAAAAGTCTCTGCACATCTTACAGACTCACTGACAAGTGTCTTGTCAATAACAGTGCTGAACTTCACCTTTGCGATTACCACAAAGCCTCTATGACTATGTCCAGACAGACGTGTACATCTGTCTAAACAGAATATGCTTAATGACACCACTCCCAACCCAAACTCAACAGGGAAGGCAGAGTTTACAGAAGGCAGGGTGACGAGCAGCATGATATGCACTGGCTCCATGGCAATGAGTTATTTTATTACTTTTAGAGACTGCCTTTACTGTTATGACTTGGGGCCCACATATCATTTTGGACATTACCTTTCTACAGAAGAGGCTACAAAGAGATGTCAGTAAACTATCTTCCTAATGTTTTCTATTATAGCTGAGAAATAATTTTCCATACCAACTAAAAACCTGGAGGATAAAAAGATTAAAACTAAACCAGATGTGTCCAACCTGTAACCCATAGGTTGGGCATGTCTGTTTCACAAGAAAAAATTTAAAACCTTTTGTTACGTATGTAGATTAGTTGTACTACAGATATGGCCCAAGATAATTCCTCGTGACTCAACACACAGCCCAGGCAAGTCAGGCAAATCTAACCCGCTGGACACAGGCTGTATGTGCCTGGCCCTGGCAATAATTAACAGGAATACAAAACTAGCATAAAATTTAAGTGTGAAAGAACCCTGGATGCCCTCTTGTGGGTTTTTTTTTTTTGGTATATCCCCAGCTACTCTGTTTCTTACTCTCCATTCCTGGAGAGCACAGGGGATCCAGCTTTTCACTCCTGTTTTACAGGAGGGAAGCCACCATGATGAGAATGCCAGCTTTCTTGTGCACTGTCCGAGTCTGCCCAGTTCCAAGAAAACACACTAAACTTCTGGATTAACTTATGTTAAGGTACAATAATAATAATTTTGAAAGTGAGCAATTATTTTTATAATAGTCTAGAACTCTAGAAATTAAAATGTTTGCATTTCAAAATATCAAGTTTAAAAATATCAACTTTCTTTTCACTAAGCATTTTCGTTAACAGCTACATTTCTGAAACTTCTGTCATTACTGATTTTCAGAGAGCCTTGCAACTTATTTATAAGATAAATGACATACCTCTACTTCATTCAAGGCTGAATCTAAATCATGCTTCCAGTTCTTTGTGAACTGCCCCACCTGTAACCTTAAATGATAAAAAGGATTAATTATGCTTGGGTTCACCCCCAGAAAAGTCACCATTGCTCCTAATTGGTGCTATGGTTTACACCAAAGAGATGTGAGAAATCTGAATGCATAAAGCGTGCCATAAAAATTCTTTAGAGCTGACGAAAATAACAACTGTACAGATAGCTTTCCTCCTCAAACCACAGGCAAAAATAAGAAAGCATTCATAGCTATCACTTGCGAATGATGATGGAATAAAAGAAATAAAATACTAAGGAACAGAGCCCAAGAGCACACTGAGAAAATAAAACACCCCAACCAGGGAGTATTTATTTCAGGTAAGCATAATAAGTTCTGTATTAGAAAACCCATCAATATCTTATACAATAGTAACAGATAAAAGAAAAAAATTACAGTTAACTTTAGAAGGATTGAAAAAGTCTTGATAAAAATTCAACAATTCAAAAAAAAAGTAGTATTAATATGTACATGTAACCACTCTCAAGATGACTGTAAACTGCATGAATTGCAAACATGTACTAATAAAAAATTGACTATTAAATGTGTATCCTGCAAAGCATATAAACAGAAAAACAATATAAAATTTTTAGTTTAAAAACGTTCGATAATTCATGACAAAATCACCAATGGATCCTTTCTTAGAAACGATTATATATATATATATTATATATATAATTATATATGTATTATATATATATATGCATGCCTCAAAGTCAAAGGCATATTCATGAGGAAATTCCAGAGACACTTCCGCCAAGATGGGGAACCACACAAGGATGCAACTCTACCACTGCTCAATCTGTGCTAGAGATCTGAGCCAGTGCAGCCAGATAGAGCAAATCTAGACACATTATTGTAGGTAATAAAATTCTATCTGCAGATGCTATGACAGCACACCCAGAAAATGTCAGAGATTCTAGAATGAAACTAATTCAAGTAATAATTTCAGAGTAAAGCAGTAGAATAGAAGACTATACACAAAAGTCAGTCTAAGAAGTACTTAATGGTACAGAAAACTTCACAATAGGACCAAAAATATTAAATATTTATATAAGAAAAATTATAATACACTCCCGAAAAACCTACAAATAAGCCTGAAAAGACATTTCTCGTTCTTGAATAGGTTGACACATTATAAATGTTAATTTTCAAAGTTCATGCATAAACTTAATGCAGTTAAAATAAAAATTATCAACAAGATACTATATGGGGTTAGGAAGTTGGTATTAAATATATGGAAAACGATTCATGTAGGAAGATCCAAAACCAAAAAAAAAACAATGAAAAAGTAAAACTATGAAAGAGGAGTATCCCTATCAAATATTAAAACTATTAAAGCCTCTTCAACTGAAATAGTGTGGTACTAGGGCAGGAATAACCAAGGGTAGAAACAGACCCAAGTACATATGACACTGAGCAGAGTACCTGATGAGGTGGCCTCTCAAATCACTGGAAGGAAGGATGGACTTTTTAAAATGTGGCTGGGAAAATTGGATAGTCATTAAGAAAAGATAAAATTACACGTGTTTCTCACAACATACCTAAGAAGAAACTCCAAAAAGATGAGGAATCTAACTCCAACAATAACATCATGGGAGTAGTTGAAGGAACCGTGAATAATTTCCTCTAAAACCTTGGGGGAGGGAAAATTACAACTTAAAATCCAGAGGCAATAAAAAAAAATGACTCAAAACTGAGGGCAATTGAAAAAAAAAGATTGAAACATTAGGTTGCATACAAACAGAAGTTTTTGCACGGCAAAACCCATCACAATGTCCAAATAAGGGTCAAGATGGAAAGAATTGTAATATATGTATACCACTGACAAAGGCCTAACAACTATTATAAACCTTCAAAGATGAAGAAACCAAGAATCCAAAAGAGGGAGGAAAAAGACAAAACCAGGCAACCCACGCAAAGATGTTAAGGCCCTCAAATGTATGAGAAGAAAAGTTTCAAACTCTTTCTTTCTCCACCCAATACCACACTGTCTTGGTGACTCAGCTATACAGTGTGTCTTAAGTTTAGGCGGAATGAATCCTCTCACTTTATTCTTTTTTTCCAAAAGTTGTTTTAGTTATTCTAGTTCACCTTATATATAAATTTTAGAATAAGCTCTTAATACATACAGAAGTCCTTACTACATTCTGGTAGGAAATATATTAAACCAATGGGATTGGGAGAATTTACATCTTTATTATGGTTAGTCTCCTAACTCATAAACACAGTATGTATCTCCATTTATTTAACCTTTTGGTTTTTTTCACTAGCATTTTGTAGCTTCCAGCACACGAGTTCAGTATGCATTGTTAGATTTTTACTTAGGTATTTCATTTATTTCATAAATAGCATTGTTTTAAATTCTGGTTTTCCCATTCCATTACTAGTGTACAGAAACCTGACTGCTTTCATTTGGTATTTATTCTGCTACCTTGCTATACCCATTTATTAGTTTTAGGACCACTCTTGGTAGAATTCTGGGCATTGAATTTGTTTTGCTCTTATTTCTTGAGTTGGGAGCTTAGAATATTTAGTGCTACAGATTTCCCTCAGAATGTACTGCTTTAACTGTGTCTGCAAAGTTGCGATGTTTCATTTTCACTTTTACTCAGACATAACAAGTTGTTTTCAGACTTTCTTTTCAGCCATATATATAAAATTACTGTATGTTAATTTCTAAGCATTGGGAGATTTTCCATTTATTCTTCATTGTTCTTTTCCAGTTTGATTCAAGTGAGAGAATGTATCTGTATACTTTGAATTCTTTTCATTAATTTTATTGGTACATTTTAGGTATACAATATGCTGACATTCATTATTGGGAACTTGTACTTTTATGTGATATATCGTGGTTCTTATTTTTTTCCCCATTCCCTTGCCCTCCACTCAACCCCTCCATCCCTCCCTATTTACAAAGACTGTTTCCATTTTTTTTTCTTCTCATATTTATTTCTTTACCTTTTTTTTGGTACCAGGTATCAAACTCGGGTCCCTGCACTTCCTTTTCCTTCTTTTAGATTTTTTGAGGTTTGCTTCAGTTTTCAGCATATGGGTCCCTCTGGGGGAATGTCCCGTAGGTGCTTGAAAAGAATGTGCACTCTGTTTTGAGGTGGCAAGTTCCATAAATGTCTATCAGATCCTGTTGACTGATGGTGGCAGTATTTATATCTTGTCATTTCCTAGTATTTCCATCAGGTCCTGAGAGAGGGATGTTGAAGGCCTCCCTCCTCTGTAATGACAGATCTCTTTTTCCTTTCAGTTCTGTTGCTCGGTTCATGTATTCTGAAGCTCTGCTGTCTGGTGTACACACATGTGAGATGACTGTCTTCTGGGTGTACTGGCCATTTTCTCAGTAGGCAGTCTTCCTGTCCCTGGCCATTTTCTTTGCTCTGAAGTCTACTTTATTTGGTATTAATATGAGGCACTCATGCTCTTTTAAAGGCTAATGTGTTATGGTATACTGCTTTCCTCTTTTGGCTTTTAACCTCCTCTACCCTTACTTTGGAGAATTAATTTCCTGCAGAGGGTATATGGTCATGCTTTTACAATCACCCTCCAACTGCTGTCCTGTAAGGGTTGCATTTAGAACATTTTCAGTGACAGTATATCCTGAGTATCACTCTAAATCAGTTCACAGACGGATTTGTCATTCTTCTCCTTTATGGCTATAAAGTACAGGACTCCACTGTATACATATACCATAAGTTATTTATCTAGTGTGGGGGCATTTAGGTTATCCCTCATATTATGCAATTATAAACAATGCTCTAATGAATTATCTTTGGTATAGGGATTTTTGTATCAACACAAGTCTATCAGGGTACATTCCTAGAAATGGGATCACTGGGTCAAAAGATAAACTCATTACAGCAACTACTAAAAAACCCTATACATAGAGAGCTACTAAAAACACTATACAGTAGATAATCCCCATAGGAAGACAAAGAAAGGGGAACAGGAAATAGTAAACAAATGGTAACAGTAAGACTTCTCAGGCCAGGGATGTAGCTCAATAGCGCTGTACCTGCCTGGTAAGCACAAGGTCCTGAGTTCAGTCCCTGGTACCAAGACAAAAAACAAACAAACCTCATTTCTCTATCCCAGGAAAGGTTATTGCAAATGGAGTCAGGAAAATTCAAACAAAGTAATATGGAAGGATTTCTTTTCCTTTGGGGCTGGGTCAAGCCCAATCGTGACCCATACCCTTAACTCATGATTATTTCCCTGTCCTCTCAGAACTCTCTTGTCCACAAAACAGGTCATCAATGTTGGGCCCTTGTAAAGAATACTGTATAATCACTCTGCACTGGTAGAGGATACAGGACTGTAGGAACAGCTGTATGGTTGTCATTTTGAAAATTTGAAAATTAAGGTGGTTTATTCCAGTCTTACACCAACAGAGCCTACTCCCAGCCACTGTGTGAAGGGTGGAGGTCTGTGGCTGCCCTGCCGTAAGGACACTGCCGCCCTCCTGACCCTCTGTGAACACTTCCCTATGCCAATCTGACAAGAGACTAAAATCTGCCAGCCACTTGGTCTTCCTGCCACTGGCCAGAATGCAAAAAGTTTTTAGCACATGGCCCAGGGAAAGAATGAACTTAATGGTCAGAATACTGGGTCATTCTACTTAAAATGGATTCTATTCCAGAACTGTAAACTAAATGAACTGTACTTTTCTTACAAAATTTTACTTCCTAGGTAGATCCTCAAATCTATTTAATCCAAGTAAGAGTTCTAATTTTCATAGGAACATAAATAATGTTGGCTACCAGGAGTAAAAAGGAAAAACTGGTGCCTGGAGGGAGGCACGATCCCCAAGAGCTGACTGCACCAAGGTGTGCAGGGCAACCCAGCAAACCCTGCTGGCATTTTCCAGGGCCACCGTCAGACATGGTTCGAACGCTACCACTGCCTACTCTGGCTCTGGCTCTAACTCCTTCATTAAACAGTACTGCTCTTGTCTTTCTTTTGGCCTTGGGACTCTGGGAACCAAGAAAATCTGGGAACTTCTGCGTCAGCAGATAAAGAGGAATGAGACAGACACTTCCGAGAATTCTGAAAGACTTGGGTGGGTCGATGCCATTGGTCTTTATCAAGTCTAATTTCATGTAAAAAGTTACAGTTCAGGGCCAGGGATGTAGCTCAGTGGTTCCATTACCTACCTCGTGAGCACAAGGTCCCGAGTTCCATCCCGGTACAAAAAAAAAGTTATGGTTCACTGAGATACATAGAAAAAAATATACAAATTATAAGTTATACTTTGGTAAAAAAAAAATGTATATTATCAGAGATTAAAAAGCAAGGGCCTCTGGAAGCCTATGGCTAAACAGAGAAAGAATGAATGGAGAGGCTCTAGGCTGGGACATGGAATGTGTGCTGCAGCCTCAGTTGCAGGGAGCAGTGTTCAGAGGCTGTGGGAACCGGCTGGATCACGAGGGCTCTGACCTTGCCAAATGCACAATGGGATCTGGGAATGAAAGGCTCGGGAGGTGGAGCCTACCAGCAGGAAGGGGGTCAGTGGGGCGTGTCTGTAAAGGGCACATCCCTTCCCCAGCCCCTTCTGTGCCTGCTCTACACTTCCTGGTCAGCATGAGGTGCTGTTTGCTCCACTGGGTGTTCCCTGCCATTATGTTCTGCGCCTCAGCACAGGCACAGGAACAGCAGGACCGAGGACCATGGACTGAAAGCTCTGAAATCATGTGCCAAAGTAAACCTTTCCTTCTGTAACTTGGTTTTCTCAGGCATTTTATGACAGCAACAGAAAAAAACACAAGAGGCATTAAGACATTTTATTAAATTAACATAAGATGTGCATGCAAAAGAAAAAGTTCTTTTGTACAGTGGATCCTCAAGTTATGACCAGCCTGACATATAAACAGCTTGGATTATAACAGGAATTTGTTTTAACTTATGACCAAGGTCTTGAGTTATGACCCAAATGCCAGCCACTTGTGCTTCCAGATGGTCTCAGATACAGATTTAACTCCTAAAGAGCTCTGGAAGGAACAGGACAGCATCCTCTCCTGTGTGGGCTTCACTGAGAAATCCTGGGCCAGTGTCTCTCTAAGGACACTGAGATCTGCCTGTGCACAGGAGAGAGACTTTGGAGGCTGTGTAAAGGAGCCTTCACCTCCACTTTCACTGACCAACCTGAGTTCCAGCCAGCCCTCGGGAACGAAGTGAGTTTGTAAGTCAGGGGTCCACTGTACTGCACATGCCAGGTGCTGGGGTAAAGTAAGGTACTGAGGGGTGCGGTGAGGCTGAGCAGAGGCAGTCGACTGGACTGAGAGCTGGGAGGGCTCATGACAGCCGCTACACAGATGTCCAGTCAAAGCCCTCTGCCTTCAGCCTGTACAAGTCCCTGCCAGAGTACACGTATTCTAGCCTTAGTTGCAATGATTTTTCTCACCTGGTTTTGATTTCCAAAATTGCAGCTATTTCTTGTTTGGAAGCCTGCAGTTGGCATAAAAGCTTAACAATATAGTTAAAGTGTTCTGGGTCAAGCATCATCCCGGCTTCAACAAGCTGCACAAAAGAAAAAAGTAGTTACTAGACACTGCGGAAGAGCTGAGAAGCCAATGTGTGTGAACAACCAAACTGATCCAAGAGCTGACGCATGTCAACGGGGGAATTTAAAAAGTTCTGAGCATATTTTTTTTTTTGGTACCGGGGATCAAACTCAGGACCTTGTGCTTTTGAGGCAGGAGCTGGAACCACTGAGCTAAATCCCCAGCCCTTCTGAGCCTATTTTCTTCAATGTTTGACAACCACAAAGACACCTTAAGAATTTAAAATAAAAATAATGATTTCTGAGTGTAAAAAAACGTAATTTTCCTCCTGTTGAAGTTAGCGAGCACACTCTACCACCTGTCTCTCTTAAGTGGTGCTCAGGCAATCTTTCAGTACAGGCTGACTGTAACCCTCCTGAAAAGTATTCTTTTCATGCTTCAGCTAAGGCTGTGGCCAGAGAACATCATGATAACCCAGGGCTGACTTCCTGCCCACATGTAATAAGTACAGCACTTCATGTAAAAAATCAATTCAAAAGCTTTCCCTTCGTTCACCTTGGCCTCACTCCCTACCTTCTTCGTGAACCTCAGCCCTACTGGCGAGAGTAACGGAGTATCTGAACAGAATGAAGGCAGGGCAGGCCTCCTCTGACAGATCTTCCGGGACATGACGTTATCCCCAGGAAGGCAGGAACACACAGGCTGCAGGTTGTGTGTCCCCCCCACCCGTCATTTAGAAATTATTTAAGTATCAGACCTTTTTTTGAATGTTTGGGTGAACTGTGCTTTATCTCTTCAGTCTAGATTCGAGACGAGTACCAGGAAATAAGAATTTGGGGTAGGGCAGCCAAACAATAACAGGGGAGAGTAAAAGAGAAGCTACCTATCCCAAGGGATAATCTATTTTTATACGAGAAGCTGTACATCTGTTATTAGAACTGTTTTGGGGTGAGGGGCACTGGGGATTGAACCTAGGGCCTCCACACTAGGCTACAACCCTAGCCATTTTAAATTCTGAGGCAGGGTCTCACTGAGTTGCCAAGTTGCCCAGGCTAGGCTTGAACTTGCCATCCTCTGGCGTCAGCATTCCAGAGTGCTGGGATACAAGCATGCGCCACCACACCTGGACAAGTGTTAGAACTTCTAATTGAGGTGTATTTTGAGGCAGAATTCCTTTTAGTGAATACTAGCAAGTAGTTGCTGAGATATTTCCCCTTACCACAAATTTGGTGACAACTGTTAAATGCGTTATAGAAACCATACTCTGAGCCATATGATTATACAGTGTAACCTGAAAATAGTTTTGGTGAAAAACACTGTTTTAAGTTTGTTCAACACATAAGGCTCTAATCCTTAAACAATTTTATATCAGCTCCTTTGGACTTAAGTTTTAGAAAATATATGCTCAATTTTATTATATAAAAGTAAAACTCTCCTCAATCTACTGATCTACTCAAAACAAAACAAAAAACAAAACAAAACAAAACAAAACAAAACAATACAGCTTCTCTCCTAAACCCACTAACCTACTTCTACCTTAACAGTTTTCCGAACTTGGTGACATAATGGACTAAGCCCCATGATTATTCACTGTTCTGCTCTAGTGTTTGAAAGCACTCCGGCTGCTCCATCTGCATTCACTGACCACACAGTGATTTCTGACTCTTCCAGCTGGACAGCGCCAACTATAAGCAAGCCTCCAAAAGTGATTACAGATACACTTAACGAAGATTTTGGAGCAGTGTTAAAAGGCACAAGATAAACGCAAACGTCTTCTTGACAAACTAGCAGTATAAAGCAGGATCTCTTTCCTCAATATTTGTTACGTAGATGGGGTATGGTACACTGTTCAAGGAGGAGGAGAAGGAAGAGGAGGAGGAGGAGATCTAACTCCACGATGGTAATATACCTTGTCATCACTGAACCCTGAAATTCTCTCAACAGGGAAGTTGGCATTGACATTAAACAACTTTTAGAAATGACAGCTCATATTAACCAAGCAAAAATGACAATCACTGTCTTTGTTAGATATTCTCCATTAAAGGTAATTTTATTTGGACAGTAACTGGGAAACATTTTGCAGAAAGCCAAGTCATTCAGTATCAGACAATTTACAAGATTCCTATGAGGTTTTCTTTTTCTATTTGCTTTTGCAGTGTTAGGGACTGAACCCAGGCCTCTGAGCATGCAAGGCACATGCTCTGCACTGAGCCACACTTTCAACCCTCTCACGTGGGTTTTCAACAACTACCTCAGGCGCTAATTAACTTCTGACTTAAATATTTCCAGACAAGACATTCTGCCAAGTCTGATAGTGTGGAACTACACATATTCACTTAAATATCTACTCATGCCAGAGGGGTTGTGTGTTTTATGAAAGAAAATTGGGGGTTTTCTTACGTCAGGCCTATTCTGAAGTAGATGGCTGTGTAGTATCAAATACTAGGATGCAGTCAACAAAAGTTAAAATATTTGTATGAGAGCCATAAAAATTCTTATTTCTCTTTTTGTTTAGTCCCAAATTTAAAATAAATTTCCAGTTACCATGTTTCTATTTTGTTTTGGTCACAATTTTCTTACAGAGCCCCCTCCGCCCCTCCCCGTACCAGGGATTGAATTCAGGACCTTGCGCTTGCCAGGCAGGTGCTGCTGAGCTAATCCCCACGCCCACAATTTTCTATTTATATTCTAATTTGCTTTTGTTATAAATGACCTCACATTGTTTAGAGAAAGAATTTTCTTTATAGTCAAGGAGTAGAGATGAAGACATTTTACAAATCAAAAAGCAGTCACCTGGGATGCTTAGAACTACTCACTGACATCCAGGATACAAATATTGATCTGTAGTTTTTTTTTTTTTTTTGGTACTGGGGATCGAACTCAGGTCCTTATGCTGGGGAGGCAGGTGGCAGAATCACTGAGCTAATCCCCGGCCCCCTTCCAGGATACAAATAAAAGGCAGATTAAGGGCAAAGGTGCAAATAATTACTTTCTTGGTTATTCAAATTAGAAAATGAAAGATAAATCGTACCTTACAAAAGATATCAATTAAAGGAGGCACAGCATTCCTTAATTTCATAGTTGCCACGTGCTCAAATATTTTCAGTAATATTTTTAGAGCAGGCTGAATAAAACAAAAAAGTTACACTCATTTTCATGTTTTTTCAGTACACATTAAGTTTCTCAAATTCATTTATGCTGAAAAACACAAGTTTTCTCTAGGAAGTATTTAACAAATTTTACTGCTAACTTCAAAAACTATAACAAAGAAATTAATTTAAAATATTTTTTAAAGTAACAGTCTCAGGCTACTTACCAGCATTTTAATCATTATGGTGAGGTTCACTACCTGAAATACTTCTTTCAATAAACAGTACTTCAGTAGAGAAAGCAGGAGCTCATTGAGTACTTGTAAATCAAAATGTATCCCGGGAGGAAACTTTCTATAGTACTCCATAAATATGTTTACTGAAAGAGAAAAAATAGTCATTTGTTGCTTTTAAGATACCCACTTTTTCTGCATTTAAAGATAGTTCTAAATTCATCTTCTTGAAAGGCAGATTGCCAGTACCAGAAATACTTGATGAAAATGAAAGGAACAGTCAAAATGGAAGTAACATTTGAAGGCAACCAAGTACATTCAGCACTCGGAGTGGGTGCCAACTCAGACGCCATCCACGAAAGGTCAGTCCAAGCTGCCACACACCTGGTCCCAAGGCGAGCTCGGGAGCCCAGGTCCCGGGGAGGCCTGGGCCTTGGACGTGGCCTGGCTGTGTCTGCGAACCCGTGTAAGCTGATGACGGGTGCAGACTACTGTGACATGTACCTAATTTTTGTCTCAACTCTACCAATGCACCGACTCTGGGATATTTTTAATTCCCATTTATGATTATGGATATTCTACTGAAAATATAATACTCATTAATTTTTGAAAAAGTTTAAAAAATATTTTCTGTCCAATTCCTTAATCGATTTTCCACACAACACTTAAAGACTATTTTTAACTTTTTTGCATTAATTTTACTACGGTTCATTGGGAACCAGGTGTGGTGGCCCATGCCCAGACCACTAGCACTCTGGAGCCTGGGGCAGGAGGACACTTGAGCTCAAGACCAGCCTGGGTGCCAGCGACCCCATCTCACAAAAAACAAAAAATAAGACCTAAAATTAATTTAGGTCACTTCACTGATCATTTTTCCACTTCAGAACTTTCCAGATTAAAATCTGTACACTTTGGCTAAAACTGCCTTAGTAAAAGTTACTTTTGGTTTTCTACTCTCTTTTTTAGACAGGGTCCCACTATGCAGTTTAGGCTGGCCTTGAACTCTTAGTGATCCTCCTGCCTCAGCCTCCCAAGTGTGCAGCACCACACATGGCCATTTTTGGTTTTATTTTTGTGTTAATTATCACTACCAAAAAACGTTTTTCTAACTGAATTACTTGCAAAATTATTACCTAGCTGATGTTGCTTGTAAAAGTCAGTAATAATGACAAAGTTCAGTAGCACAATTGAAAAATTAATATTAAAATTACAGTACTTTTAAACAACTTTAATAATATGGTATAATATTTGACATTGCTAGAAACCTGCTGTATATGCTACATCTATGGGCACAGAGAGATAAATCTTGTTCCTTTTTTGGGGGGGGCTGCGTTTACATAATAAATCTGTCTTAGAAGCAGAAATTCAGAGGATGTTATTATAATTAGTTAAACTAGAACTTCAGCTATTTAAAAAAAAGACTAGTTAAAAATAATCTATGTTTATGTGTAATTGGCCACTAATTTCTATGTGGCCAGCCTTTTTGCCATTATTATTTAAAAAATTTTAGGGCCGGGGATTTAGCTCAGTGGTTTTGCCGCCTGCTGCACAAGCGCAAGGACCTGAGTTCGATCCCTGGTACCAAAACAACAAAAAAAAATTTAGTGTAACTTAAAAAAATGATTCTCCCTGTAAAACTATTGGTGACAAGGGTTTAAGCCTTTAATTAAACTTTTTTTTTTGGTTCCAGGGATCAAACTCAGGACCTTGTGCTTACCAGGCAGCGGTGACACCACTGAGCTACATCCCCAGCCCAGCATTTAATAATTTTTGAAACGACCTGCTACTTTGCTTTTAAAAAGATTCTGCAGATTGAGAATGTTGCTTCATAATGACCTCACCACAGTCAGGTGGTTTCCCCACTTTTCCAATTAGGACTGCATGTCTGGTGAAGGGGAAGCTGCTGTCTTTCCAGATCTGCTTCCAGTTCTCAAAGCGGAAGCAACGCTCAGGCCACTGTAAATAGCCAACTGGACTCTTTTTATTGTTATAAATTAAAATATTTCTGTGTATTATAAATGGGAAATCTAAAATGTTCCAATGGCTTTTTAAAGTTTAAATTTGTATGATCAAGTTTATATCTTTTGTACTTCCTTTACTTAAAATTATAGAAATTATAGCTTTTCAAAAAAAACTTATGGTTTTCTCCTGAATTGCTATTACGGTATATTGATTCATTTTGGTTTACACTAAACAGTAGTTTTTCCAAATGTTTATAGCCATAAAACTTCTAGGAAGGAAATTTCACACGGAAGTTTAAATATAAAACATATAAAAGCAGACCCATGGCTCTACTCCTAGGTATCTACCCAAAAGAACTGAAAGCAGGGAGTCGGACACTCACACATGGGGGTTATCAGCAACATTACCCACTGACAGCCAAAGGCAGAAACAACCCAAATGTCCCCTAACAGATGGAAAGATAAATGTGATGTACGCATGCAAGGAAATTCTGGGCCTCAGCAAGGAAGGACATTCTGACACATGTCATAACACGGATGAACCTTGGAGACAGGATGCTAAAGAAATAAGCCAGCTGTGAAAGAACTCCACCTACATGAAGGATCTGGAGCAGGCAACAGAGACAGAAAGTCCCTCAGAGGTCATCAGGGGGCTGTGAGGGTCAACGGGAAGTTACTGTTTAATGGGTGTTCCTGCTTGGAGCGATGAAAGAGTTCTGCGAACGGACAGTGGTGATGGTTACACAACACTGTGAGTGTACGTAGTGCCAGAGAAAGATGCTTAAATTTTATGTACGCTCACACACACATGCAGAGTCAAAGAAAAACTGAAAATGCTCTAAATTAAAAGAGGCTAAAGAGACATGACAACCAAATGAGCACTTGATGCGAGGGGAAGGGGAAATGCTATAAGGTAACAGACGGAAACTGAACACAAGCAGATTAGACAAAACCCTGTGCGTGTGTGAAACTGACTGCTATGAATCAACATCCCATGGTCACATGAAAGAATACCCTGTATTTAGGGGTAAAGGACCATGATGAAGGCAACTTACCTTTAAGTGGTAACTGCATTACACACACACACACGTACATGTGGGGGGCACAAAGTAAGTACAAATAATAAGTATGGCATAAGACTATTCTTATTATTTTTACACTTGTGACTTTCTGTAAATTGGAAATTACTTGAAAATAAAAAATTAAAATTCCACTCAGCTTTCTTCTTTTGTGCACCACTGTGGTCCTGAGGCCTCTCCACAGAGCCCAAGCAGTCTTTCTACCCCGCCATCCTGTGGCCTTCGTACCATCTACTGAATGACCCCTCTCTCTGAGCATTCGGTCTGTAAACACTAAGCCCCTGTGTATGTAACCCCAGGTCTGTTCTGAGTTCTCTATTCCATTCAACTGCTGTAAGTTTCTATTTTTATAACAATTTCCATAGGCTTTTTTTTTTTTTTTTTGCAAAGACAAGAGTCTCACTATATAGTTTGGCCTGTCCTTGAACTCACTAGGTAGACCAGGCTGGTCTCAAACTCATGGCAACACTCCTGCCTCAGCCTCCCAAGTGCTAGGATTACAAGCCTGTACCGCCACACCTAGCTCCACAGGCTCATGATGAGTCCCTACATTTATTCTTTGCTATAAGTTCTTACTTTTGTTTTTTTTGTATAAACTGTCTTAAAACTAAATTCAGATACACTTTCTCCTATGTTCACAATGGATCTTCACACAGAACTACACTTTTGGGATAATGTACCTTCTCCATGTCATTCCCTTTCTTCCAGGCTCATGTTATGACATTATTTCTGGAATTTAAAAATTCATCCACATGTAACCAAGTGTGGCTTCTCCTTGGGTGTCACAGTCCTGCTGATCACATTGCCATATAAGGTCCTATTTTCTCTACTCAACCTGCTACAAAGTTCCCTTAGATGCTTCTCCTAACCCTTGGGGAAATGGTATGGGCATCAAGACAAAGCAAGCTGGCTACAGACTTTGTTTCCAGCCGAGTGAGATTTCCAGCAGGTGCACATGAAGCTGTGGTGTACTACTGCCACCATACTATGCAGTTTTGGTGGGTGTATCAATGACAGGTCAGTAAACTTGGTCTTTCCCTCCTGGGGCTCACAATCCATACAGGGAGAAGGAAACAAAGAATGGAACGGGGCTGTGGAATCAGACAAGGGCCTGCTAGAGAAACCAATCCTATTGTTAAGCTAAGCTTTGACAGCTAAGTACGTCTTTTCCATGGGGAAAGGGATTGGGAGGAGAGGCTTCCGGGCCGATGGGACAGGGGCAGGGGCAGCACGGAGTTATGACACAGCCAAGGCCTGGTTACGGAGCCACACAGAACTCACAGGACAGTGCGCTGGCCAAAGAGAGAAGGACAAAGGAGGGAAGATCTGGGTTCTAAATGATCCCTTTAGATAGATTTAAAGCCTAATTAACAGTTCCCTTTTCTCCAAATCCGTAAATAAAATTTCTAAGTCATGAAAATATTATATAAGGAAATTACAATGGATCAATAGATAATCAAGCTACTATAGTTAAATTTCAAGCCTTTTCTTTTTTTTTTTTGGTCCAGGGACCAAACTCGGGTCCTTGTGCTTGTGAGGCAGGTGGCAGAACCACTGAGTTAAATCCTCGGCCCATTTTAAGCCTTTCTAAGGTCAACAGAGCAATTAGGACATTCACAGTTTTCAGATTTAGCAAGTATTACACTTAATTTCAAACTATAAGAGTAAACAGCACATTGTGTGAAACATTAATAAATCTGTAATAATCATTCAGTTGCTTCATACCTGCACGCTGTAGCAAACACAGTTCATTGATACTTATATATTTCTTAAATACATCCATGCAAACCTACAAAAGTCATAAAAAATGTAAAATTACCTTTTTATATTTCATAAGAACTACAAAAATTTCCATTTTATCTTTTGGCTTATTTCAAAATTTTAAAATGAGCTTAAAGCTGATGTTTGGTTAACTCACAGGTTTGAAATGCATACTGAATTCATTACAGAAACCTTATTTAAATTATTTAAAAAATAACCATTTGCTGGTGCCAGGATACACACACTGACCGATAATCAGAACAGAGCCAGGGACAGACCCACTCTTACACTGTCAGCTGACCTATGCCACGGTGACACAGCTGTGCAGTGGAGGAACAACGATCTTTTTTTTTGGTACCGAGGATGGAACTTGGCACCTTGTGCTTGTGAGGCAGGCAGCGGAACCAGTGAGCTAAATCCCCAGGCCTGGTCTTTTTAATAAGTGCTGGGTCACCTGCAAGTCCACATGGAAAAAAAGTAGTCTTGACCCTCTTCTCATTAACAAAAAAATCTAGCTGGATTAGAGTTCTAATGCAAATGGAAAAACAGTAAACTTTTAGGGGATGGGGATTTAGTTCAGTGGTTCTGCTGCCTGCCTCCCAAGCGCAAAGACCTGAGTTCAATCCCCGGTACCAAAAAATCCCCCCCAAAAACCAGTAAACTTTTAAAGGAAAAACACAGGAGTACATCCTCACGATCTTGGCAGAGATATGTTCAAAAGGATGCAAAAAGTTAACACTATAAAAAATGATTGACAAAAAAAGACTAATTGGTTTACTTTTTTTTTTTTTTTTGAGACAGAGTCTCACTTTGTAGTTCAGGCTGGCCCTGAACTCACTATGTAGCTCAGGCTGGCCTTGAACTTGAGCCAATACTCCTGCCTCTGCCTCCCAAAGCTGGGAATTACAGGCATGAGTCACCACACCCGGCAAGACTGACAAATTGGACTATATAAAAATTGTTTCTCAGAAGCTAGCTTTAAAAGGATGAAAAGGCAACTTATAAAGTAAAAAAAAAAATTTACAGCATGTATATTCAACAAAAAACTTTAGATATCTAGAGTTCCTGTATGTTGGTATGAAAGAGATAATCCCATAGGACACAGGGAAAAATATTTGGATACTTCCAAAAAGAATATATCCAAATGTCCAGTATGCATTTTTGAAAGATGCTCAACTCCATCAATCAACAAAGCAGACATCATTACTCACCCCAGAGCAGCTAAAATAAAAAGGCTCAACACAGCAACAGGTGGAAAGGATGTGACCCACCCAGAACTCTCAGACCCCACACCGCTGGTGAGAATGATCTGGTGTAGTCACTTTGAAAACTTGTTCAGCATCTACTAAGCATCTACTAAGATTGAACATACACAGACCCCATGACCAGCTACTCCAGATTTAAGTGTAACCTCTGAGAATGTGTCCATCTGTTCACCAAAAACATGCAGAAGAACATCAAGGGCATCACTGTTGTAATATCCAAATCTCGAAGCCACCCAAATGCCTGTCAACAGCAATATTTACCCACAAAATGTACCTCGATATACTCACACAGTGGAATACTAGCTATTGCACAGCAATGAAAGAGAAACATCTACCACTAAATAAAAAATATATCAAGCAGACCTAGGCGAGCCACGCTGGTGGCACACACTTGTCATAGTCTGGCAGCTGATGTGGGAGGATGGCACTGCCCAGGAGTTTGAGGCCAAGTCTGGGCAACACAGCAAGACCCTGTTTCTTAAAAGCTAAACTCTAAATAAAAAGGAAGCCATACACCAAAGAATATATATTAAATAATTCCACTTACATAAAGCACAAATATAGTCACAGCTCATCCGTGGTACCAGAAGAAACTGAGAATCTAAATTCAAATGCATGACCGAGGCAGGAAAAACCACGCCCACTTGAGCTCCTTCATTTTACCTTCTCATCCCCTTGCTCAGGCACGTGAGCAAACTTGCATGGTGATCGCTCACAGCCTCGGAAGGTGTTAAAATGAAACTTGCAGTATCTGTGCGGGATCATCAGCCCCAGCGGCTTCTGGAACATCTAGACAATTAGTAAAAGATACCTTTCTGTGTTAAGTGAAAACACAGTCCAGTGAGAAAGCATCTGAAGCAACAGAAATAGATATGTATTTTTTGTGGTGCTGGGACTCAAACAGTGCCTCAGACACCGTAAGTATGTGCTCTACTGCTGAGTTACACTTTCAACCCTGAAGCAACAAAAATACTTCAAAATAAACTGCTTGCTAATTTGCTAAGAAAAAATACCCCCCAAATTTGTATTTTTAAAGACAAACAATTTAGAGTGATGATCTGTGACTTTTAATCTTTCTTAGTGCAAAATATTCCAGAAAGGTTAATACTGTTTCACTTCACATTTTTAAAAACTTTACTTTTAGGTTCCCAGCAAACTTGAGAAGAAAGCACAGAAATATTCCACAGACTCCCTGCCTCAACGCAGGCCACCTGTTTTTAAAAGCCTACAGTCCTGCTTTCCTTGCAGCCTCTCACCTCTACTTTTGCAGAAAGTTAATTCAATTATAACTTGCTTCATATTTCAGGCGCACTTATTAGAACCAAAATTCTCCTTGGCTTCTCTAATAGGAAGAGGCAAACAGTGGAAGAAAGCGTCACATAACATTTCCCCATAAAGTGCTTCCTAACACCAGCTTTCTCCTTCACGACAGGGAACTATCTATCCTGTATTTTCAGCTTTGGGTTCTCCCTCTTCTGCTTCAATTCTTTCATGTTGGGAACAGCCTCTGCATTGCTACTTCTTTTCTAGGTTTTACCATTCATCTCCACTCAAAATCTGTATGTCTGGAACTGCTTAAAAAATGATGACATGGAATAGAAACCAGAAGGGGTCCAATATATGGGTTATCACTTAGAAAAATATTTTTCTTAAATGGAAGACTTACCCCTATATTTTTTTCCTTTTTAAATATTTCACAAGTTTCAGGATTCTGCAGCTTTAGGACAGAAGGTTTTCCGGGAAATCTGACATCTAGAAATGATTAGAATGGCATTTTACAACTGCATGTTATCCTCACTCCCATCAGAACACTGGTCACTACCAGCTGCTTTGAAGTTTCACTCTGGAACATTCATGTTCACTTTACAGATGGTACTGCCATGTGTGCTACTGTAAAATATGACATCTTGAGTACTCTTATGTGTTTCTAGATCTGAATTTAAAAATTTAAAATTGTAAGCTGCAGAGAACTTACTTAAAAGCCTTACACTGTAGCACTGAGCACTGCATTCAAATGATACATCTCTAACAGACAAACACTGCACACAGTGACTTTCTAAACTCAGGTGCTCTGAACTGAACTGGGTTCCCCTGACAAATTGAATACTGATGCCCTACCCTGCAACGCGACTGTGTTTGGAGATAGGGCCTTTACAGGTCAGGCCTTAAGGTCAAATAAGGTCATAAGTATGAGAGTCCTTGTAAGAAGAGGCCAAAGAGCTTTCTGTACTCGCACATGTCCAAGAAAGGATGTGTGAACTTTGCAAGAAGGGAGCCCTCAGTAGAAACAGCCCTGCAGAACCTTGCTCTTGGGACTTCTCACTTTCACAACTGCGTGGAACCAGTTTCTACTGGTTAAATTACCTAGTCTATGGTATTCTGTTACGGCAGCCCGAGCTGGCTAATATGCCAGCTGCTACATTCCTTAATGGTGGCCTTTTTGAGAACTGCAGCATTTAAAAACATTCTTCTTTACAGATAAAGTATTTTTAGTTTTAAATAATTTTATTTGTTATCTCAGCAGCTTTCAGTTGGAACATGGAACTATATCAAGTTTTGCCGCACAGTTTTGCAGTAATTTGCACTGTGAAAACTGTAAGGCTTTTTGAGATAAAACACGACTATTGTGAACTTGCTGCTCTATTAACACCAGGCACTATGAAGTCAGTACCCAAAGGTACAGAAGAGTCATATGTGTGCAACCCAAAGAGATTGTTTTTAAGTTTATTCTTCAATAGAACTTTTGTTCACAGCATTATGAATTATTAAAACCCGACAAACCTTAAAATATATACAAATATATTCACAAATACTTTATAGATATTTGCTATCATTTACCTGTGCCACTGTCACAAACATATTTTGGAAATTGGCCCATCAAAAATATTAAAGGTAAATAATTTTGACATATTCCATACTTACTTCTATTTTTGTATCGGATGAAAACATCTCCTACATAGTTTATTACCAAAAGCCAACAGGATTGTATTAAGAAAATAGATGGTACCATTCATCCAGGGCCTTGGTACTGTGTCTTCCTGATGACCACTTAGGTTCAAAGGGGGAGGTGATAAGCACAGGGGTCTGGGGCTCAGTGCTGCTAACTGACATTCACCAGCCAGAGTCTCTGCGTTGCTAGAATCTTTGCTGTGTAAGCAGAAAGACCAAAATCAGAATTTAAGTTGGTTTTTAAAACACTAATGAGAATCAAGTAAAAATGCAATCTAAGGCTATGTAGATTTTACACAGCATACGATACTTCAATATTTTCAATAGAGTATCCCTGTCTTAATAGAAAACCAGTACTTGTTAAATGGCTGGGGGCAGAGACAGGAATGGGATGATATGGTTAACACTAGAGCAAAAACTAAGACAGGCTCTTAGCCTGCTGCCCAGGCTGGCCTTGAACGTCTAGGCTCAAGCAATCCTTCCATCTCAGCCTCCCAAGTATCTGGACTACATGCATATTTTTTGATTACTCCAGACAAAAGGTTTGAGGAGGTACTAGGCTAGACTAATTCAGAAAAGGCCATCCAATTACTGACAGTGAAATGAAATAAACAAATTATACTATTCTTCCTTTACCAATGGTTTCACTTTCTATGGTTTCAGTTACACATGGTCAACTGTGGTCCAAAAGTATTAAATATGGGAATCTCAGAAATGTTTTAAATCTTATCCTAAGTAACGTGATAAAATCTTGTCTTGTCCTGCCCAGGAAGTGAACTATCTCTTTGTCTGGTGAATCCATGCTACCCGCCCGTTAGGCACTTAGTAGCCACCTTCACCTTGGGCCAAGTGGTTTTTCACCACCTGTGTTCAAGTAACCCTTTTGTAGGAGCCCACTGCACATCACAATGCCTACTCATTTACCCCTCATCTCTGTGTGGGAACTGTGTCACCTCACTTCATCACAAGAAGCCTAAGTACAGGCCAGGAACTATTCTCATTTACATAGCTTATTATACCTACTGTTAAGATCGCCCTGTTATTGAGGACTGTGGTTAATCCTTTACTGAACCTAATTTACAAATTATACTTTATTATAGGTATGTATGTGTACAAAAACTCACTATGTTAGGGTTTGGTACCACCTGCAGTTTCATGTATCCCTGGCAGCCTTGGAATGACCCATGGTAAAGGAGACTACAATATAAGTTATACTTAAGGATTAATGTATACAATAAACCTATTACACATTCTAGGGAGAGAAGGAATTGAAAACCTTACTGTTCCAAAACTGATTTAACCAGCTTTAATTGTGTCCAAGTAAGTGACATCCTATATAATCAATTTTATAAAAAAATTAAACTAGAGGTTATTTTTTTTTTTGGTACTGGGGATTGAACTTGGGACCTTGTGCTTATGAGGCAGGCAGCGGAACCACTTAGCTAAATCCCCAGCCCTGGAGGTTACTATCTAGGAAAAATAAATTACTGAAGCCAGGAGGACTAGTAGATATGGATGAGTTTACTGTCCAAGAGACTTACCCAAAACCCAGATACTATAATTCGAACCTAAGAGCAATCATGAGCTTTTGCAGTGGGAGTTTTTTTTTTTTTTGTTACCAGGGATCGAACTTGGGTCCTTGCGCTTGCATGGCAGGTGGCGAAACCACTGAGATAAATCCCTGGCCCTGCAGTGGGAGTTTTCTGAGCCAGAGCAATGAGAACAGTAAGCAGGGCCTATACTTAGTTGAAATTTAGTGCCATTGACGTAATTTTAAAATTTCACAAGATAACATTTCTCGGGCCAGAGACATGGCTCAGTGGCACCACACTGCCTGGCAAGTTGCAAGGTCCTGAGTTCAATTCCTGGTAGAGGGGAAAAAAAAAATTTCTCTTCTGAATTTGGGATACCTATGTAGCGCCACCGTGCCCCTCTCCATAAAACAAAACAAAAGCAATAATGTAAAACAAAGAAGTAGGGGTTATGGATTTTTACAGATGAAAGAGATTATATAGAAAATCCTTTTTTGGATTGGATGACTGAGGCCCAGGGAGAGATAGTGACCCGACCAGTGTCACACGGTGATAACTATGGTACAGCCAAACTTCCTGGGTTGCGATAATACTATTTTGTTTGAAGGTAAAGTATTTTCATTAGAAAAACGAACTGACCTGGTCAGTTTTTGTTTAACAGTATCTCCAAATGGTCATGAACCATTCTGGACTTGGATGCCAATCTAACTCCAACTCTTACCTTCTCTTTTCTTGAACAGTTCTCAAAGCTGAGCCTGTACCAGGGTGAACTCCTACTGAACACAGAAGCAATGGGCTCCCTCCTCTCCCCGAGTTTCTGACCTAGTATTTCCATTCTAAAAGTTCCCATGCGATCCTGCTGCTCCAAGGATCACACTTTGAAAACCACTGGCTGAACATAAATAATAAATAGACTTGGATGTGTTCATCCCGACCTGGCTGTAAGACAAGGGCAGCAGGGTGAGGGACACTCCGGGGGGCACTCCTCATACAGCGAGTCATTACCACTGTACGCAGAACCAGCTGGAAAAGTGCTATTTTTTAATCCTTTGAATCTGGTGCTGTTCACAGACCAATCAGAAGATGCTCTTTTCAATCCTTCATTTACATGTGCAGGGAGCCAAGCACTTTCCCGAAGGACAGTTTACACAGGTGGGAAGCCAAGTGAACGTGTAACAGTTCTGTCCCAATGCCTTATTTGCCTCAGGGAGAGGTAACCCAGGAATTCTGATACAAAAGGCTCCTTTCTTTTCCTTATCTTTTAGGAAGCCTATTCCTGAGGCCTCTGTGAGTCTATTCTCCAGCCAGCTCTCACTCTGAGGAACATAGCTCTTTTCTACCTTCAATAAATGTACACTTTGGCTGCCTTTTCAGTGTCTTGACCGAGTCTTTGTTTGAGACACCAAGCACCTGGAGTGAAGCCCCACAGGACTCTCCATCCAGTACCAGGCAGGCCGTCTCAACTGCAAGATGAGGGAAGAGGATGGATCAGGGGATCCATGAGGAGTCTTCCAGTGCCAAGCGTGGTGGGTTTAATTCTAGTGAATGTACTCTTAACTCTTGGTACTAATCACTGCATCCACGTAAAATACTTGCAAAACTCAACATTCATTTGATTTTAGCCACTGTTACCTTCATAGAAGTCACGTATGTATTCTTTTTCCTTTTATCACTACTCTTTTCCTCAAAAAATATATTGGTGGCTCAAAAAACTGACAGACAGCTGTAAAGCAGCCTACAATTCCCTTTCTATCTGGGGACATCTGACATGTTAATTATACTCCTGTATGGTTTGTGGTAATAGCAGCTCAAGCATAACAAACAGAGAATGAAAAACACACCCAAATTAGGTGAGTGACTATCGTGAAGTTATGTAATTGGATATTATGTTACGGACCTTTTGCAAACTTCATAAATATTTTCTTTGTCTTCTTTAACAGTCATCTTGTTTGAAATTCTACACTGTGAAGAAATTACAGTTAGAGACACAAAAGTGAGTATTTGTGTATAACGTACTGAAGTATAAGACTTAGCAGATTTTTAGAAATCTATTAGATGTTAAATGAACAATTAGATTATGGTCAACTGTGAAAACAATTCTACACTACATAACTTAAAATATTGAATATTGACTTACAAAATTTCCATTGCTGAAGAAATGTAAATTAGTACATTTTCCAGCTTTTGTTATCTTGCCATGTATAAGCTACTATTTCAAGTTATTATGGGCAGTTAATACTGTGTTTTTCAGGAAAAAAGCTCTGAGTTGTTTTCATTTTTAGATGGTATTTATGAACCATTTAGATGGTATTTTTCTAATGAACTATTTAAATCCATTTTAAACACAGCTATATTTAAAAACATTTTAGAAGTAGCTTTTGGGCAATTATGTCTTTATAAGAAAGTTATACATGATGAGTAATGGGAGTGTTGCTTAGTGGCAGAGCATGTACTTAGTATGTGGGAGGTCCTGGGTTCAATCCCTAGTGTGCACGCATGTGTGTACTCCCTTATACACACACACACACCCCAAAAAGTTATATATACTCAAATATTAAATTTTTGAAAACAACAAGCTTCAAGAAAATGAAGCCCCAAATCACCTGTCACTCCAGCAGTCAGAGATAATCACTTAATATGTTAGTTTGTATACTGCCAGTCACTTAAAAAGTCCATAGCCGGGCTGGGGGTGTAGCTCAGCATAGAGTGCTTACTGCTGTATGCACAAGACTGGGTTCAATTCTCAATACCAAAAAAGAAAGTACACAGCCATATTTTACAATCATGGTATCATACTGTATATTATTAGGAGGCTTAGAAAACTTCAAAAATCAACTGAGATATGAAATATGCAAAGGATCTAGGCTGTAGCTTAGTGGCAGAGCACGTTTAGTATGCAAGAGCCCCTGAATTCCATCCCCAGTACCCTCTTCCACATAAATCAGCACCAAATGGCAATAATGAAGAAAATAGCATGGGCTTCCCCTTTTGTTTTGCCAGCTCTTGCTGTGTGCCCAGACCCTGACAATTAACCTCATCCAGGTGTCTCACTATGAAGCCCTCCCAAGTAGATAATCTACTTTCTCCTTATCCATGATGTTCTCTCTGCTTCTGTGGATAAGCCTACAGCACCCACCCAAAACCCTGACCTTAGAAGAGAAAGGCAAAACTTAAAAAAAAAAAACCTAAATCTTATGCATTAGATAAAAAACTAAAGGCTATAACTAATTCTGTCACCTTCCCCTTAATCTTCCCCCTCCCTGTGGCAACTGTTCTCTGCTCTGACAACTCTATTTCTAAAGATAATGGTTTTGCTACATCCTGTTTCTATGGGAGCCTGTTTCTCTTCACCAGACCAAGGTCACCCAGATGTGTTAAGTTACAAGCTGTCACTGCTTAAGTAAATGCTTTTGCTCTGCTTTGTAGCTTCTGTATAAAAGGAATAGCATAACTGCTTCTTGAAGCTCAGATATTGGAGAGTCATCTCCTCTGGGCCCACTAGCGTAATGAAGTTTTTTGGCTCCCTCCACCTCTTAGAGTGCCTCTTGTTTCTTGAATCTCCAGTAAACCTAAAAGTGCTCTAACAACCAGACCGACCATGTTCTTGGATAAAGGTAAAGATGTTATTTCTGTCCAAATTGATTTATGTATTTAGGACACTATTTTACAATGTGACTTTTAAAGCACAATTAGTGTATGAAAGAGAACCAATATATTTTAGATTTATACATTTTAGTATCTTCTAATAAAAGCCTTCTTTACTAGTATTTTTATCTTTCAAATAGTTGACAATGTATCACTGGTACATAAAGTGAGTAAGCAACAAAATACAAAAGAGGTAAAGAATAGTTACACACGTAAAATTGAGATACTGAAAATAGCACTTGAAATTTGTGAGAAAATTAACAAATAGTGGAAGACCTAGCTATTTGAGTGGAAACTAAGAGTGATCCTAATTCATCATATTTCAAAATATCCTTAAAATTCATTAAAGACATAGTTGTAAAAAATACATTCTGAATGTAGCAAAGAAAAATTTAAAAAGTAGAAAAAAGGTATATATTATATATGTATATATATGTATTCATATATTATGGAGAGTAGAGAAAGCCTAAATATGACACTAAAGGCAGCCAACTGCTAAAATAGGGAAAAATGTTACACTGTTTCTATATTTTCTCCCAAGGTAAATTTTTTAGTTTGATAAAAAATTTAAACATAATAAATGACACCCAAAAAAGAAAAAGAAAATATAGAAGAAAATTTTAATCCTGAAATAGAGAAGAGTTTTTCTAAATATGACTCATGACTTAGATATTAGAAAATGGATGTATTGGACTAAAGAAACTACAAAGGCTTTCTGCAAGGTGAAAAGCTTCTAAACCACATCAAGACAAATGAAAAACAGGAGAAAGTATGACAACATATATTTTATGTTTGATTTAGGATAAATTTCTACAAAGAAGAAAAACAGGCAGAGGACATAAACAAGAAGTTCACAGAAAAAAATGTAAATGGCTTTAAACATGCTAAAAGGTGCTTAACTAGACTGAAGAGAACTGTCAAAGTCATATGCAAAATAAAGTAGAGAAAAAAAGATGAGTGGGAGAGTATATGGGAAGACAATGGCAGTTTCACCAATGCTGGACACATAAATCCAGGCAAGGTCTATATAGGGCAATTTGATAATTCTACTTCTAGGAATTAATCCAAAAATGCTTGCACATAGGCAAAATGCCTTATGCTCAAGGATGTATAATATAGCAATATTTAAATAGTAAAAAAAAGAAAGAAAAAAGAAACAAATGTCCGTCAACAGTTGGCTTCGTTAAAATATGTTAGGCAAGTAGTAAAGACATTAGTGGGCCTGAGAGACAAAAAGGGCCCGAGAGTCCAAAGCAGTGTGCATTGCCACTTAAGAAACAGGGACTTTGGTGTATAATATATTCATAATCATTTCTTAGGTCTCAGATGCAAAGCAATTCACAGGGAACAGTGATATTTTAAGGTGACACAAAGCACACATTCCTTCTGACACTTAGCCAACCTTCCAATTCCAGAACAAGGCACAAGTGTTCCTGACTGCCACAGCCTCCAGCCCAAGGATATCAGGAAAGATGTTCTTTAAAGGCCCTCCTGCCTCAGCTGGGGCCTGGTTTAGAGTAAGAACTTAATTTTTGTGAGTTTTTTATGTGACTAAAGCCCCTAGGAAACACTGACCACCTAAAAAGGAGGGGAAGATGTTTTGCAACTTCTTAGTAACCTCTGAGTAAAATGTTGATAAGTATCATAATCAGCATAGTTCCCTGGACCCCAGGAGTCACTTCTGTAAGCATAAGAAGGCATCCTAACTTGAACTCTGGGCAGATACCTTTGTGACACTGCTCCCTTTCTCCTGGAAGCCGTAACTCTCTGTATCTGCCTTACAGTAGACTCTTGCATGGCCTGTGAGTCACAACTGAATTCCTTCATCTAGGGCACAAGGAACCCAGGGTGGAGGAAGGGAGGAGCTGGTTCCTCGATGTATCAGTACCTGGCTTCCTCACGATGTACCCATATAGTGGATAATTATGCAAGCATAAAAACACGGCTTTACTACATACACTGGAAGGAAAAAAATTTCAATTATATATGTATTAGGTAAAAAAGAAGCCAAGATAAAAAAGGGTATGCTATTATTTATTAAATAAGTTGAATTTAAATTCAAAATAGGCGAAATGTGTGAGAAATGGCAGAACATCTCCAATTGGGGTAATCTGCAGAAAAGTCTGCATATAAATCTGGACAGAGTATTTCAAAGCCTCTATTTGAAAAGCAGACAGAACCTAGAGCTCTACACTCAAAGAGGGAATGGCACTAACTCTTGCAGTTATGGCCTTATTCCCAAAGGAAAGCCCTAGTTGGAACCATGTAGAGAGGCCAAAAGTTTGCCATACTGACATGAAGAACAGGAAGACAGAGTTTGGGGCAAAGTCAGAAACTGGCAAGAGGCTGGGGATCCTGGCAAAGAGACGGTCTAAGAGAAAAAGCCTCTAACCTTAATTATAAACTTGGCTCTAATCTGGCTGGTCCCTGAATTATACTTATTTAAGGAAGACTTCACACAGCTGAGGGTAGAAGGACTACCTGGGCATGGTGGTGCACACCTGTGATCCCAGCACTTGGGAAGCTAAGGCAGGAGGATTGCCATGAATTGGAGGCCAGTCTGAATAGGAAAACCCTGTCTCAAGATAAACAAACAAATAAGAACTGAACAAAGATTTTAACCACTTCCTACTGTAGGGGAGAAACTCAGAGGTTGGATTCACCAAGTTAAAACATAAGTATGCAACTACCATACTACCATATAGCTCAATTATTGCCCACGTATCCCAGAGATTCTAAAACTTAGGTACAAAAAACCCCATACATGACTGTTTATGGACAGCAGCTTGATTTGTAATTGTCCCCAACAGGAAACAACCCAGGTATCCTTCAATGAATGCGGAGTTCCAACTATGGTACACCCATGCCCCTGAGCAGTACTAAGGCAGTAAAATGAACTAGTTATACATTACAACCTGGATGAATAACCCTCTGGCTGGAAAAAAAAAATTGGAGGCAGTTATATACTTTGTGAAGCTATTTATGTAACATTGTTGGAATGCCAGAACAAGAGAAAAGGAGGCCAGATTAGTGGTTGTCAGTGGTTAAGGAGAGGTTGTGGGAACAGGTGGGAAGGAAGCAGGTGTAAAAGGGCAACGTGAAAGATCCTTTTGGTAACACAAGTGTTCTGCATCTTGACTATATTATTCTGATTGTGATACTGTACTATTGATTTTCAACATGATCACTGAGAGAAGCTAGGTAGGGTATGTGAAATTTCTATGCATTTCTTAGCTGCATGAAAAGCTATAGTTATCTCAAAAAAAGTAAGATACTGCTAAAGCAGTACTTATGGGTAAATTTATGGCACTAAGTGC